TCTGTGTCTCTGTGTGTGTGTCTGTGTGTCTCAGCTGTGCGTGTCTCTCTGTGTGTGTGTCTATGTGTGTGTGTCAGCTGTGTGTCTGTGTGTGCCAGCTGTGTGTGTGTGTGTCTCTCTGTGTCTCTATGTGTGTCTCTGTGTCTGTCCGTGTATGTCTCTGTGTTTGTGTCTGTGTGCGTGTGTATCTCTCTGTGTCCCTGTGTCTGTGCGTGTCTCTCTGTGTCTGCGTGTGGGTGAGGTTTGTAATGTTGTCCCCTGCTGCTCATGTTGGAGACTTGGCCCCGAGAAAGAAAAACAGGAACCTCACTCACCTCACCCACTCACCCACTCACTCACCCACTCACTCACCCACTCACTCACCCACTCACCCACCCACTCACTCACCCACTCACTCACTCACTCACCCACCCACCCACCCACTCACTCACCCACTCACCCACCCACTCACCCACCCACCCACTCACTCACCCACTCACTCACCCACTCACTCACCCACTCACTCACCCACTCACCTACTCACTCACCCACTCACCCACTCACTCACCCACCCACTCATCCACTCACTCGTCCACCCACCCACTCACTCACCCACTCACTCACCCACTGAGTTGTTGTGTAGCTGTTGGTGAGTTGTTGCGTGTACTGCACTGTTTGTGACGGTGGCACTGCTGATGAATAAAACAAAGTTGGAATTCTGTCGCTTGTGTCAGTCTGGTGTCTACTCATGAGTCTGTGGGTCTCTGTGTGGTGAGTCTGTGGGTCTGTGTGGTGAGTCTGGGTCTCTGTGTTGTGAGTCTGTGTGTGGTGAGTCTGGGTCTCTGTGTGGTGAGTCTGTGGGTCTCTGTGTGGTGAGTCTGTGGGTTTCTGTGTGGTGAGTCTGTGGGTCTCTGTGTGGTGAGTCTGTGGGTCTCTGTGTGGTGAGTCTATGGGTATCTGTGTGGTGAGTCTGTGGGTCTCTGTGTGGTGAGTCTGTGTGTGGTGAGTCTGGGTCTCTGTGTGGTGAGTCTGTGGGTCTCTGTGTGGTGAGTCTGTGGGTTTCTGTGTGGTGAGTCTGTGGGTCTCTGTGTGGTGAGTCTGTGGGTCTCTGTGTGGTGAGTCTATGGGTATCTGTGTGGTGAGTCTGTGGGTCTCTGTGTGGTGAGTCTGTGGGTCTCTGTGTGGTGAGTCTGTGGGTCTCTGCGTGAGTCTGTGGGTCTATGTGTGGTGAGTCTGTGGGTCTCTGTGTGGTGAGTCTGTGGGTCTCTGTGTGGTGAGTCTGTGGGTCTCTGCGTGGTGAGTCTGTGGGTCTCTGTGTGGTAAGTCTGTGGGTCTCTGTGTTGTGAGTCTGTGGGTATCTGCGTGGTGAGTCTGTGGGTCTCTGTGTGGTGAGTCTGTGGGTCTCTGTGTGGTGAGTCTGTGGGTCTCTGTGTGGTGAGTCTATGGGTCTATGGGTCTCTGTGTGGTGAGTCTGTGGGTCTCTGTGTGGTGAGTCTGTGGGTCTGTGTGTGATGAGTCTGTGGGTCTCTGTGTGGTGAGTCTGTGGGTGTCTGTGTGGTGAGTCTGTGGGTCTCTGTGGTGAGTCTGTCTGGTATAACAACCCCCTACCTCATGATGCCGGATGGACAACGTTGTCGTGGACAGTGCTGTGGGAGGGAGGGCCAATTTCGATTGGCCTCTCCCTTCATGGCGTCTGTGACTGCCACAGCGGCTAAATGGGGGCTCTGGACGGGTGCGAGGGGCTGGTAACTTCTCCACCTTCAATTAACTACCACTAAACCACGACCGAAAATTTTAATTAGCAAGCTTGTGCCGGAGGCCCCGGAGGGACAAGCGTCATTGACGTCTCCTGGCCAAACCCCATTTGGCGGAGCCAGGAGATTGAATCTTTACCCTCGGGGCTCTTCCAGACACAACAAAAAGCCACTACGGATGGTCACGTGGAATGTTCGAACGCTCACTGCAGAGGAGAGGCTGCCACTCCTCTGTCGGGAGCTGGACCTGTACCACCTGGATCTCTGTGGCATTCAGGAGGTCTGGTGGACCGGCTCTGCCTCCTGCCACCATGAGGGGTGGACAGTCCTCCACTCGGGGCAGGAGACTGGCGAGTCTGTGGGTCTCTGGTTGTTTGGCAGTCTGGACAAAAGAATGAAGGGGGCGTGGAAGCGTGGTGGTGAGGTGTGGGAAGCTGTAAGACCCAGGCTACTTTGGGCTCGCTTTCACATCAACCGGAGGCGAGGAGTGGTGGTTGTGGTTACTTATGCCCCCACCGAAGACGAACATCCGTGGAGGGATGCAGGCAAGACCAATGAGTCAGATGCCTTCTTTGACCTCCTGTCACAGGTGCTCGCTAAAGTGGCCCCTCGGGATAGAGTCATCCTATTGGGCGACTTCAATGCCCGAGTTGGTCATGATGCTGGCACCTGGTCTGGAGTGATTGGAAGGCATGGGCCAGATCAGCTCATATCAACGGTAGGAGGCTGCTAGATTTTGTGCAGGCTTGTAATTACCAACACGCTGTTCCAGCATCGGCGCATCCACACATCATGGATGTATGCCGGGTCCAAGCAAGAACATCTGTTGGACTACGTAGTGACAAAACAGCAGATGCGGGCCCATGTCCTTGACACCAGGACCTATGGTGGAGCTGATCTGCCCACTTACCATCGACTAGTCATCTGTAAGATGCGCCTGCCATTCTTCCACTCCGGTGGTGGGTGTACATCCAGGACCCCATTCAAACCCAAGGTGGCCTGGTCTCAGCTAATTGATGAAAATTGCATGCGAGAATTTCATCATCGCTTGCGGCTGGGGTTGGCATAGTCCCCACTCCAGATGTTGAGGGGAAATGGGTGAGGTTTGGGACTGTGGCTCATGCAGCTGCAATGGCTGCTTTGGGTACACGGTTCAGACCTCCCCAGAGACCCTGGCTGATAGAGGAGGTGTTCAGGATGGTTGAGAAAAAGCGACAGGCCCACTCTCATTTTCTACAGCATCCCACGTCAGAGAATGAGGAGGCTTACCGCAGCCTTCGCTTGGAGGTTCGGAGAGCCATGAGGCGCTGCAAGGATGGGTGGTGGTCACAGGTTGCTGAGGAGATGGAGTCTGCCTCAATAGCCCGCGATCACAAATCACTCTTTAACTCCATCAAAAAAGTAACCTGCAGCGCCACACCTATTACCATCCTTACGAGAAAAAACGGTGATCCAATCTCCGACCCACAGGAACAGGTTTACAGATTTGCTGAGCATTTCTGTGAAGTCCTGGGGGAGGGGAAATCGCTCGGCATGGAAAACATCGTGGGACAAAGTGGGGATGACCCAACTTAGGCTGCGGTGTCTCAAATATTGGAAGAAGTCATCTCACTCCTCAGTGTGCCGGGAAAGGTCCTGGAAAGGATTATTCAACGTCGCTTTGCTAGGCACGCTGAGGAGAGGCTTGCGAAGCCCCAATGTGGTTGCAGGAAAGGGCGGTCCTGCACAGATGCCATATTTTCTGTCCGTCTGCTACAGCAAAGGTGTAGGGAATTCCAACAAGACCTACATTTCTGCTTTATTGACCTGGTCAAGGCCTATGATACCATCAGTAGGCCTGGGCTCTGGGTTGTTCTTTGTGCTTTCGGAGTCCCTGAGGTGCGACAGGGATGTCCTCTGGCTTCCACATTATTTAACACCTTTTTCAATCAACTAGTTCATGAAGCCTTTGATGGCTGTACCGGAGGAATTTCCATCTGGTACAGATACAATGGGAGGCTGATCAAATGCCCGGGTGCGGTCAACTACGTTATGTATGCCAATGATCTGGTAATTGCCGCTCACTCAGAGGAGGAGTTGGAGGGGCTGCTGCTGAACCTGGAGCTTGCCACTAAGAGATGGGGCCTTACCATCAGCCCAACCAAAACTAAGCACCTGCCTGGGTATTTTGTACCATCGAACACTCCACATCCACAACTCCCAATTGGTGATGGGACAGTTGTGGAGAGAGTGGAGAGTTTCCCATACCTGGGCAGTGTGCTCATGACCGGCTCCGGTTTGATATCAAGAAGTCCCACTCCTAATCAGTCGAGCGGCATTATTTTTTCATCGGTTGTGTAATGCTGTGTGGAAGCTACCTGGTCTGTCGCTCCGCACGAAGCTTCGGGTCTTCTCGGCCACGGTCATTCCCTCCTTTCTCTACGCTTGCGAAACGTGAAACCCCCCTAATGGAGCATTTTCGCCGGTTAGAAACATTTAGGCTGGCCTGTCTACAATCCATCCTGGGTTTAACCAGGCTGGATTGTGTGAAGAGCTCACAAATCCTTGAAAGATCTGGACAAAGTCCCATCGGTGAGCTCCTCCGGCAGGCAAGGCTGCGTTGGCTGGGTCATGTAGCCCGCATGCCCAGTCACCGCATGCCTAAACAGCTTTTGTTCGGCCAAAAGACCCAAGAATATGAATGTGTTAGCCGTCTTTTTCCAGGTGATTAGCCCCTCTGCACTGGATGGCTGGTGTCGGCTCTCACGGGAAATAAAAGCTGGCATCCCCTAACAGTCGGGCCTCCGAGTGGTCTACCATAAGCACAACCCTACACACCCCAAAGGTCAGCCATCGTGGAGGGCAGAAGTGTCCTTGTTATTGCACGCGTTTATTTAACTCACTTCGTCGGTTGTATCCTCAAAAAAGAAATCTTGCAACTAAATTTTTACACACTTCCCAATGTGCTATCAACTGCAAACTTCGTATAGGTGTGTCATACTGATGACAACACGATATTTTATCATTTAAAAAAATCCAAAACACATATTTTAAACTGTTTACACACTTTTATTTAACTTACTGTATGTGTTGTCGTATCCAAAAATCTTGTAACTCAATTTCAACCGTATTCCCAATGTATCGACTGCAAACGTGGTATAGGTATGTCATACTGATGACAATACTATATTCTATCATTGGAAATTAAAAATAAATATTTTTAAACGATCTTTTTAACGGCTCTAATTGTCGACGCTAAACTCACGTTGCCTGTAAATCACCACGTGGTCCCTGACGTCACGGCAAGCCTCGGGGAGCCACGCCCAGGGGCGGGGCATGTGGAAGGAGGGGAGGGGCCATGGGGGAAGGCGGCAGGGGGAGGTGCAGCTCGGACAGTACATTTCATTAAAGCGTTTTTTTTTTAAGTATTTAAAAATGTTTTATTTTATGGTTAACGTGACAACTATGACCACACGTCATTTTCGGGCATGTTTCACAAATATTAAGCCAGAATGTTTATTCCACGCTGGAATGAAACAGAAGCGCATCGTTTACATATATTGTCAAAGCCTCAACTAACTTTTTCAAATTGATACAAAATTACTTAGTGTCATTTAAGCTTAATTTCTCTCCCGCGATTCTTAATTTTGGACATTGCGAGAATGTAGACCCCAAAGTTTATAAGATTTAACTACACACATTTGGAGCATTCCTGGCAGCGATTTCAGCCGCACCACCTCTACATAACAAAAGACTCAGTCAACCATTCTACACAACAAAGACTCATTTCCTGGCAGCGATTTCAGCCGCATCACCTCTACATAACAAAAGGCTATGTCCCATTTACACGCACCTTCACATCAGCCGCACCTAGTTTACACAACAAAGGCTCATTCCTAACAGCGTGCTTCAGCTGCACTCACTCACCCACCCACTCATCTACTCACCCACTCACCCATCACCCACTCACTCACTCACCTACTCACCCATCCACTCACTCACCCATCACCCACTCACTCACTCAACACCTAGTTTACACAACAAAGGCTCATTCCTAACAGCGTGCTTCAGCCGCACCGAACCTCACAAAAAAATAATAATATCCAGGTGCCTACCTTGGCTTCTCCAACCCTCAACCAGTATATATACAAGGACTGTGTTCTTGGAATTTCTCTCACTTGAAACAGCTATCGTGCTGTGACGGTTCCACCTGAAGACGGAAGCTTGTGTTGCCTCCGAAACGTCGTGAATTTTTTATTTTATTTTTATATTACTTTTATTAACTTGAATTTTTTACCTACGTAACTTTACCGAAAAAACCTAAGAATATGAATATTTATAAGAGGGCTTCGTGAACTTAGTCACAAACGATGCGAAACTGGCGATCTGTAGCGCCAGACAACGTGCAATCGAGGGCATTAGCCTAATTCAGCCACTGCCGCATGTTTAAGGCCCTGGTGGTTTCTGGCGGAATTTCTCTCCGCTCAGTTGACGGGCGAGTTCCATCCTTTTCAACGCGTTCGGCCGCAGTGGGTGCTGTGATGCGACTGACGGGTGTTTAAAGGTGTTTCTGAACGTTGTGTCTGTGAACACAGCCCACGACGGGGTTTCTGTTACATGGGAAAAGGGGGTACACGCGTAATATTTCGTGTTTATATGAAAAAGAAAAACGCCGTGAAAGCCAAACTTTTATTTAAAAAACGACATGATGAACGAAGCCGAGTGCCGCCTAACTGAGCATTTTTTGTGTTTCTTCTGATCGAAAAATTGTTTTAAGAAACAAAGGAGTGGAGGGCGGTAGGGAGGGAGTGAGGGAGATAGAGAGGTAAGGAGTGAGAGGTAGAAACGTCAGGGGTCGGGATCCACCCCCACGGCCTCCTGCATGCCGGGCGAGCGAGATAACATCCCGGTACAGCGGCCCCGCCGCCTCCAAAGTCCGACCCCTGCCGAGCTCATCCGACCAAACCACTGGAGAATTATCAACGCGCCCAGCGGTCCCACAGAGGCGCAGACGAGCGTGGGAAGGCAGCGGCAGCAGCAGCGAAGAATCGTCTCCTGCGATCGCCCGATATCCTGCGGTCCCCAACGTTTGCACGCCCGGTCAGCTCCCGGGCGCGGAAGCGGCATCGGCGTCCCGACGTGTGTCTCCCGCGCCGTGCGTCCGCGCGTGCCTCCTGAGTCGGAGCGGCGCGAGAAGCCCCGGCCGCACTCGGAGCAGGCAGTGGGGCCGCTCGCCCGTGTGGACGCGAGCGTGCGCCTCCAGGTTGGAGCGCTGCGAGAACGCGCGGCCGCACTCGCCGCAGGCGTGCGGCCGCTCGCCAGTGTGCGTCAGCGCATGGCTCTTCAGGACGTTCCGCTGAGCGAACGCGCGGCCGCAGACCCCGCACGCGTGCGGCCGCTCGCCCGTGTGGACGCGCGCGTGGATCCCCAGGAGGTAGCGGTGGGAGAAGGCTCGGCTGCAGTCCCCGCACGCGTGCGGCTTCTCCACGCCGCCGGCCGCGTGCGTCTGCGTGTGCTTCCTAAGATCTCCGCGCCGCGCGAAGCCGCGGCTGCAGACGCCGCAGACGTGCGGACGCTCGCCCGTGTGGCTCAGCGCGTGGATCTCCAGGAGGTAGCGGTGGGCGAAGCGCTTGCCGCACTCGGGGCAGGCGTGCCGCCTCTCCCCGAGTTGTCGGTGTTGTTGTTGTTTCCGAGAGCCCACTTCAACGTGTGACCGACGCGCGTTCGCGACGGCGGCGGGCGGCGGCCGGGACGTGTGTCCGCGCGTGCGTCTTCAACGCGAAGCGCTTGACGAAGCCGCGGCCGCAGACCCCGCACGTGTACGGCTGCTCGCCCGTGTGGGTCCGCGCGTGCTTCCGCAGGTCGCCGAGCTGCGAGAAGGCGCGGCCGCAGACTCCGCAGACGTGCGGCCTCTCGCCCGTGTGGACGCGCACGTGCGTCGCCAGGTTGTGCCGCGTCCCGAACCGCTTGCCGCACTCGCCGCAGGCGTGGGGACGCTCCCCGGTGTGGGTCCGCGCGTGCGTCTTGAGGGCGTACGCGCGGGCGAACCGCTTGCCGCACCGCGCGCAGACGTGACGCCTGCCATCGGCGGCGTCCCCGGCCGCCGTCAGCGCTGTGAGGCGCCCGGACCGCGGTTCGGTCCTCGGGGCGGCTCCGTCTGCCGCCGCCACCGCCGCGGCACGGTTTGGGGAACGCACAGCGCATGGCTCCGTCATGGGGGAGGCTGATACCTTGCGAGCCTCCGGGATATCGGAATCGCCGGGGCCGGCCTCGTTAACGTGGATAAGTAAGAACATTTCTCGTTGAGCGCCGTCAGATATACAAACTTCAATCGAGAAGATGGACTCAAATTGAGAAATCATTGGAAAGATGTGATTAACCATGTTAAACCTCAACCGCTACTCTCCCCCTGCTCTGCGTCCACCCTCCCCCTATCCGTGGCTCCTGTCGTGTAGTACCACCTTCACCTTCCTGGCTCCACCCACCCCCCAACTACCCCCCCCCCCCCATCTTGCGCCTGTCCTCCTTGGCTCCTCCCCCTCCTCCTACCCTATGTAACAATGTCTCATCACACGTAACTCTTGCTACAGTTATTTTGCTGTGCTTTTTTTTACACATGAAGGAAGCTTGTGTTGCCTCCAAAACGTCGTGATTTAATTGAGTTGTTTTCATTTATTTTATTGATTGTTTTACCTACGTGACTTTACCGAAAAAACCTGGTGTGGTGCGTAGAAAACATTGCCACTAGAGAGACAAAGGCGGACAGGCATGGCCACCCCACCCCCTCGTGTGCCGTGGCGGCCTTCCTACAGTGCTACTCACTAACAGCACTTGCCCCAACAGCCCATTAGGGGCTACACGGGGGATCTTTGTTTCTCTGTGTATGAACTCTCACCTCCACCCATGTCCTCCTCTTCGGACAACTCAACCTCGACGAAGTTCTGGTCCGGCGCTTCCAGATGCCCATCGCGGGAATCCGTCGCCGCTTCTTCCGATATCTCGGTCGCTTCTTCAACCTTAACGATCTTCAGGTCTGGAGCTGTGGGTGAGAGAGTGAATCGTGGGTCGTGGGGCGTGGGGCATGGGGCGTGCGGGATCCACATTGATTCAGTTGCACAACCGATGGCTCAAGCGTGGAGCCAGCTCAAGGAGGGTGGGAGGGAGGGAGCCTTAACCAGCGTCCGGAGCGCGAGGGAGAAGAGACATGGGCGGCTTGGGCAGCTGGTGAGGAGAGAGACACAAGATGCTTGGCTGGATGATCAAGCCCCCTCTGGAATTATCTTGTCAAGGTTTCTGCCCTCGCTGCGAAAAGTAAAATTCTCTCGCTGCCTCACTCACCATCATCACCATCCTCCTCCACCTCGCTCTTCACCAGCGTCCTCACGATCTCGCGGCCCAGACGACCCTCACCCTCCTCCTGCTTCACGACCGCTCCTGCTGCACGCGCACACACACGCTACTGCTGCTGCCGCTGCTGCTGCACCGCCGCTCATGCTGCTGCTGCTGCACGGACGAGAGGAGACCGAGAGGCTCAGGGAGACGGTAGCTGGGCCAGAGCTGCGGAGATGCTGGGTTCAAGCCCTGAGTCTGGGTGTCTCTCTCTGTCTCAGGGGGTTCATGATGACCAAGCCAGAGACACTGAGATGCTGGGTTCAAGCCCTGGGTCTGGGTGTCTCTCTGTGTCTCAGGGGGTTCATGATGACCAAGCCAGAGACACTGAGAGGCTGGGTTCAAGCCCTGGGTCTGGGTGTCTCTCTCTGTCTCAGGGGGTTCATGATGACTGAGCCAGAGACACTGAGACGCTGGGTTCAAGCCCTTGGTCTGGGTTTCTCTCTCTGTCTCACGGGGTTCATGATGACCAAGCCAGAGACACGGAGATGCTGGGTTCAAGCCCTGGGTCTGGGTTTCTCTCTCTGTCTCAGGGGGTTCATGATGACCAAGCCAGAGACACGGAGATGCTGGGTTCAAGCCCTGGGTCTGGGTGTCTCTCTCTGTCTCAGGGGGTTCATGATAGCACCACCCCTGGTCCAAACCAGCGGACGGTGACAGAGAGACAAGCCAAGCAATCTCACCGGCTGCTTCATCGTCGCCGTTATCAGCGGCGGCGTCTTCACGTTTCACTGGCAGGTCAGGACTCATCCCAGCGGCTGGGCTCTCCTCATCATCAGTCTCTTGTTTGATGAGCGGAGGAGGAGGTGCAGGAAGTGGCGAAGCCATCTGAGGAGCCGTTCGATCTCGTGGCGAGGCAGCTGAAACAAACATGGCGCCCGTCTTGCAGCCTCATCGCCACCACCGGACCCATTCACTCAACGACGACCGCCATTCATCGCGACGTGGCGGTGACGTCACCACGACGTGGCGGTGACGTCACCACGACGTGGCGGTGACGTCACCACGGCACTTGTGCCGTGCTAGGGGGCACACCCAACCACATGCTTCTAGGCCGCACTAAGCCTGTAGCTGCTGTCAGAGCGATTGAAGTTATTTCTGTTTCTCTCAATTTCAATGGATTCTCTAATTAGTCTTGGCCAGTAATAATTAGTTCTACACGACACTTCAACGTTATCAAAATCAATTGAGTGTCCTTGTTGACAAGCATGCTCTGCCACTGCCGACAGTTGTGTTTGAGATAATTTAATGTTTCTTTGGTGTTCTTTTAGTCTTACGCTGATGTTGCGTCTCGAACAGACAAACATATCCACGAATTTCCCTTTTTTATATATATAGATTATAGTATATTAGTGTATAGGTTTATATATAAGTATATTAGTGTATAGGTTTCTATATAAGTATATTAGTGTATAGGTTTCTATATAAGTATATTAGTGTATAGGTTTATATATAAGTATATTAGTGTATAGGTTTCTATATAAGTATATTAGTGTATAGGTTTATATATAAGTATATTAGTGTATAGGTTTCTATATAAGTCTATTAGTATAAAGGTTTCTATATAAGTATATCAGTGTATAGGTTTCTATATAAGCATATCAGTATAAAGGTTTCTATATAAGTATATTAGTATAAAGGTTTCTATATACGTCTATTAATCTAAAGGTTTCTATGTAAGTATATTAGTGTATAGGTTTCTATACAAGTCTATTACTGTATATGTTTATATATAAGTATATATAAACATATATTAGTATAAAGGTTTCTATATAAATATATCAGTATAAAGGTTTCTATATAGGTCTATGGGTCTCCACATGAATCTGTGGGTTTCTTGCAAGAGGGCTACACTGCACCTTCTACAGCACCGTACCTCTGTGGCTGACCGGCGTGGTGAAGTATGGTCAGGCTGGCACGGGGCCCTCTCATGCAGCGCTGGTGAAGTTCCACGAAGCGAAACGGCCAAGCGGGCAGCAACAAGCAGCACGAGTTGACCGCACAGAGTGGGGAGGGGAAACAGCAAGATGTGGAACAAGACGAAAGGATGTGGAACAATGGCAGCAGAAGGCAAGATGGGTACAAGACAACACTGCACCATAGAGTCTATGGGCAGTGTTGAGTCTATGGTGCAGTGTTGGGTCTATGGTGCAGTGTTGAGTCTATGGTGCAGTGTTGGGTCTATGGTGCAGTGCTGAGTCTATGGTGCAGTGTCGAGTCTACGGTGCAGTGTTGAGTCTATGGTGCAGTGTTGGGTCTATGGTGCAGTGTTGAGTCTATGGGGCAGTGTTGAGTCTATGGGCAGTGTTGAGTCTATGGTGCAGTGTTGAGTCTATGGTGCAGTGTGAGTCTATGGTGCAGTGTTGAGTCTATGGTGCAGTGTTAAGTCTATGAGCAGTGTTGAGTCTATGGTGCAGTGTTGAGTCTATGGTGCAGTGTTGAGTCTGTGGTGCAGTGTGAGTCTATGGTGCAGTGTTGAGTCTATGGTGCAGTGTTGAGTCTATGGTGCAGTGCTGAGTCTATGGTGCAGTGTTGAGTCTATGGTGCAGTGTTGAGTCTATGGTGCAGTATTGAGTCTATGGTGCAGTATTGAGTCTATGGTGCAGTGTTGAGTCTATGGTGCAGTGTTGGGTCTATGGTGCAGTGTTGAGTCTATGGTGCAGTATTGAGTCTATGGTGCAGTGTTGAGTCTATGGTGCAGTGTTGAGTCTATGGTGCAGTATTGAGTCTATGGTGCAGTATTGAGTCTATGGTGCAGTGTTGAGTCTATGGTGCAGTGTTGGGTCTATGGTGCAGTGTTGAGTCTATGGTGCAGTATTGAGTCTATGGTGCAGTGTGAGTCTATGGTGCAGTGTTGAGTCTATGGTGCAGTGTTGAGTCTATGGTGCAGTGTTGAGTCTATGGTGCAGTGTTGGGTCTATGGTGCAGTGTTGAGTCTATGGTGCAGTGTTGAGTCTATGGTGCAGTATTGAGTCTATGGTGCAGTGTTGAGTCTATGGTGCAGTGTTGAGTCTATGGTGCAGTGTTGAGTCTATGGTGCAGTGTTAAGTCTATGAGCAGTGTTGAGTCTATGGTGCAGTGTTGAGTCTATGGTGCAGTGTTGAGTCTGTGGTGCAGTGTGAGTCTATGGTGCAGTGTTAAGTCTATGGTGCAGTGTTGAGTCTATGGTGCAGTGTGAGTCTATGGTGCAGTGTTGAGTCTATGGGGCAATGTTGAGTCTATGGGGCAATGTTGAGTCTATGGGCAGTCTTGAGTCTATGGTGCAGTGTTGAGTCTATGGGGTAGTGTTGTCTTGTACCCATCTTGCCTTCTGCTTCTCTTGTTCCACATCCTTTTGTCTTGTTCCACATCTTGCTGTTACCTTCCCCCCCCCACTCTGTGTGGTCAACTCGTGCTGCTTGTTGCTGCCCGCTTGACAGTTTCGCTTCGTGGAGCTTCACCAGCGCTGCATGAGAGGGCCCCGTGCCAGCCACAGAGGTAGGGTGCTGTATAACCCACAGATTCATGTGGAGACCCATAGACTCATATAGAAACCTATACACTATAATACTTATATAGAAACCTTTACACTGATATACTTATATATAAACCTATACACTGATAGACTTGTATAGAAACCTTTAGACTAATATATATACTCACATATAAACCTATACACTAATAGACTTATATAGAAACATATACACTAATAGACTTATATAGAAACCTTTACACTAATATGTTTATATATACTTATATATAAACATATACAGTAATAAACTTGTATAGAAACCTTTAGACTAATATATATATACTCATATATAAACCTATACACTAATAGACTTATATAGAAACATATACACTAATAGACTTATATATAAACCTTTAGATTAATAGACGTATATAGAAACCTTTAGACGAATATACTTATATAGAAACCTATACACTAATATACTTATATAGAAACCTTTAGACTAATATACTCATATATAAACCTATACACTAATATACTTATATAGAAACCTTTAGACTAATATACTTATATAGAAACCTTTAGACTAATATACTTATTTAGAAACCTATACACTAATATACTTATATAGAAACCTATACACTGATATACTTATATAGAAACCTTTACACTAATATACTTATATATAAACCTTTACACTAATATACTTATATATAAACCTTTACACTAATAGACTTATATAGAAACCTTTACACTAATATACTTATATAGAAACCATTATACTGATATACTTATATAGAAACCTATACACTAATATACTTATATAGAAACCTTTAGATGAATATACTTATATAGAAACTTATACACTAATATACTTATTTAGAAACCTATACACTAATATACTTATATAGAAACCTATACACTGATATACTTATATAGAAACCTTTAGATGAATATACTTATATAGAAACTTATACACTAATATACTTATTTAGAAACCTATACACTAATATACTTATATAGAAACCTATACACTGATATACTTATATAGAAACCTTTACACTAATATACTTATATAGAAACCATTATACTGATATACTTATATAGAAACCTATACACTAATATACTTATATAGAAACCTTTACACTAATATACTTATATAGAAACCATTATACTGATATACTTATATAGAAACCTATACACTAATATACTTATATAGAAACCTTTAGATGAATATACTTATATAGAAACCTATACACTAATCTATATATATAAAATTGTTCATGTCTGTCTGTCTGTGTGTGTGTGTGTGTGTATTTCGGCCCATACGCACTTTCATTGGACGGCGGTTGCCCCTGGCAACGGCTAGCCACGCCTTCGCCGCTTTCATTGGACCTGGCAACGGCTAGCGACGCCTTCGCCAAGGGCTGCAGTTTCATTGGACGGCGGTTGCCCCTGCCAACGGCTAGCCACGCCTTCGCCACTTTCATAAGCTCCGTATTTAATTAAATAATAGCCATTACACAGTATTGTTGGAGCGCTAGGGGGGGGGGAAGGAACGCCACCCGTACCCTGCCTCTTCCAAGCCGACAATTTTAGGCGAGGCCGCAGGCTTTGCACGCTACTAGGCCTCGACACCCACCACGCCACTCTGAGGTAAATTCATCAAAGTTTTTCCTACTCTTCACTACACCCCCACCACAATGTGTGCTATTAATATTACTTTTAAACCCAACGCGCCAACAATCGATTACTTTAATGTTCACTGTACAAATACTCATTAAGCTGGGTGAGCGTACTGCCAGTCTATCATGTACACTGTAGCCTGCTTATTAAGCTCGGTGAGCGTACTGCCACTCTATCATGTACACTGTAGCCTGCTTATTAAGCTCGGTGAGCGTACTGCCACTCTATCATGTACACTCTAGCCTGCTTATGAAGCTGAGTGCGTGTACTGCCAGTCTATAATGTGGACTCTTGCCTGGTTATTATAATCGATTCTTTATATGTTCTTTGTACAAACAGTCATTAAGCTGCTTGAGCGACCCCAGTTCGATTCCAACTCACGCCCACCACCGCTGACGATTATTTGAAACGGACCTGGCCCTCCCCTAGGTCCACTCAGCCTCAAAAGCGTAACTGCTGTCGTGTGTGAACATCGTCACTGGGGAGACAAAGGCGGCGGGGCATCGTGGATCCAAGTCCCGGGCGAAGCCGGGTCATGTGTATGTGTGTTTGTGTTTATGTGTATGTCTGTGTGTCTCTATGTATGTGTGTATGTATGTGTATGTATGTGTTTGTGTGTATGTGTGTCTGTATGTATGTGGGTTTTTTTATGTCTTTATGTGTATGTCTGCGTGTCTCTATGTATGTGTGTATGTACGTGTGTGCATGTGTTTGTGTGTATGTATGTGTGTGTCTATGTATGTGTGTGTCTATGTGTGTATGTGTGTGTATGTATGTGTGTTATGTGTCTGTCTGTGTCTGCATGTATGTGTGTGTGTATTGTGTATGTGTTTGTGTGCATGTATGTGTGTGTTTGTGTGTATGTGTATGTCTGTGTGTATGTGTTTGTGTGTATGTGTGTGTATGTATGTGTGTGTATGTGTTTGTATGTGTTTGTGTGTTTACGCTCGCATTACACAAATGTGTTGCTGGTCTAAGGCGTTCCTCGCACAGCATTGCCGCTTTATTATTTCAGTCGTTTACTGCCTTACGCACCCTGAAAGTCGTGTGTGTCTGCAGCAAGCGCGTGTATGTGTACCTATGGACGCGCGCGCGTGTGTTGTGTAGGGGGAACGGTAGTGTAGTGCTTAGCGTGCTGTCTGTGTCTGTGTGTGTGTGTGTCTGTCTGTGTCTGTCTGCATGTGTCTGTGTGTGTGTCTGTGTGTGTGCGTGTGTGGTGTGTGGGGAGCGGTAGTGTAGTGCTTAGCGTGCTGTCTGTGTGTCTGTGTGTGTGTGTCTGTCTGTGTCTGTCTGCGTGTGTCTGTGTGTGTGTCTGTGTGTGTGTCTGTGCGTGTGTGGTGTGTGAGGAGCGGTGGGTGTAGTGCTTAACGCTACGCTGCGCTACCAACCCGGCGAACCCAGTTCGATTCCCGCTCACGGCCACCACCGGTGACGATTATTTGAATCTCCCCTAGGTCGACTCTGCCTCAAACGAGTAACTTAACTACTGTAGCGTATTAACATCGCCACTGGGGAGACAAAGGCGGCCGGCCGTGGTAGATACAAGTCCCGGGCGAAGCCGGGTAGTACAGCTAGTATACTTATATAGAAACCTTTAGATTAATAGACGTATATAGAAACCTTTATACTGATATACTTATATAGAAACCTATACACTACTATACTTATATAGAAACCTTTATACTAATATACGTATATAGAAACCTCTACACTAATATACTTATATAGAAACCTATACACTAATATACTTATATAGAAACCTATACACTAATATACTTATATATAAACATTTATACTAATATACGTATATAGAAACCTCTACACTAATAGACCTATATAGACACCTTTAGACTAATATACTTATATAGAAACCTTTACACTAATAGACTTATATAGAAACCTTTATACTAATATAAGTTTATATATAAACCTATACACTAATAGATTTACATAGAAACCTATACACTAATATACTTATATATAAACCTTTAGACTAATATACTCATATATAAACCTATACACTAATATACTTATATAGAAACCTATACACTAATATACTTATATAGAAACCTTTATACTGATATACTTATATAGAAACCTATACACTACTAGACTTATATAGAAACCTTTAGACTAATATACTTATATAGAAACCTATACACTAATATACGTATATAGAAACCTATACACTAATATACTATAATCTATATATATAAAAAAGGGAAATTTGTGGATATGTTTGTCTGTTCGAGACGAAACATCAGCGTAAGACTAAAAGAAGACCAAATAAACATTAAATTATCTCAAACACAACTGTCGGCAGTGGCAGAGCATGCTTGTCAACAAGGACACTCAATTGATTTTGATAACGTTGAAGTGTCGTGTAGAACTAATTATTACTGGCCAAGACTAATTAGAGAATCCATTGAAATTGAGAGAAACAGAAATAACGTCAATCGCTCTGACAGCTACAGGCTTAGTGCGGCCTAGAAGCATGTGGTTGGGTGTGCCCCCTAGCACGGCACAAGTGTCATGGTGACGTCATCGCCTCGTTGTGGTGACGTCACTGCCACGTCGTGGTGACGTCACCGCCACGTCGCGATGAATGGCGGTCGTCGTTGAGTGAATGGGTCCGGTGGTGGCGATGAGGCTGCAAGACGGGCGCCATGTTTGTTTCAGCTGCCTCGCCACGAGATCGGACGGCTCCTCAGATGGCTTCACCACTTCCTGCACCTCCTCCTCCGCTCATCAAACAAGAGACCGATGATGAGGAGAGCCCAGCCAATGGGATGAGTCCTGACCTGCCGGTGAAACGTGAAGACGCCGCCGCTGATGACGGCGACGATGAAGAAGCCGGTGAGGTCGCTCGAATCGTCTCCTGTCACCGTGGGCTGGTTTGGACCAGGGGTGGTGCTATCATGAACCGCCTGAGACAGAGAGAGACACCCAGACCCAGGGCTTGAACCCAGCATCTCCATGTCTCTGGCTCAGTGTCTCTGGCTCGGTCATCATGAACCCCCTGAGACAGAGAGAGAGACACCCAGACCCAGGGCTTGAACCCAGCATCTCCGCGGCTCTGGCCCAGCCACCGTCTCCCTGAGCCTCTCGGTCTCCTCTCGTCCGTGCAGCAGCAGCAGCAGGAGCGGCGGTGCAGCAGCAGCAGCAGCAGTAGCGTGTGTGTGCGCGTGCAGCAGGAGCGGTCGTGAAGCAGGAGGAGGGTGAGGGCCGTCTGGGCCGCGAGATCGTGAGGACGCTGGTGAAGGGCGAGGTGGAGGAGGACGGTGATGATGGTGAGTGAGGCAGCGAGATAATTTTACTTTTCGCAGCGATGTCAGAAACCTTGACAAGATATGTCATCCAGCCAAGCATCTTGTGTCTCTCTCCTCGCCAGCTGCCCAAGCCGTCCATGTCTCCCCTCCCTCGCGCTCCGGACGCTGGTTAAGGCTCCCTCCCTCCCACCCTCCTTGAGCTGGCTCCATGCTTGAGCCATCGGTTGTGCAACTGAATCAATGTGGATCCCGCACGCCCCATGCCCCACGATTCACTCTCTCACCCACAGCTCCAGACCTGAAGATCGTTAAGGTTGAAGATGCGACCGAGATATCGGATTCGCCGGACCATAACTTCGTCGAGGTTGAGTTGTCCGAAGATGAGGACGTGGGTGGAGGTGAGAGTTCATACACAGAAAGACAAAGATCCCCCGTGTAGCCCCTAACGGGCTGTTGGGGCAAGTGCTGTTAGCGAGTAGCACCGTAGGAAGGCCGCCACGGTACACGAGGGGGTGGGGTGGCCATGCCTGGCCTGCCTTTGACTCCCTAGTGGCGATGTTTACTACGCACCACACCAGGTGTTCATTTGAGGCTGAGTCGACCTAAGGGGAGACACAGGCCCAGTTCAGATAATCGTCACTGGTGGTGGTGCTGGTGGTGGCCGTGAGCGGGAATCGAATTGTGGTCTCTGCCGGCTTCGTAGCGCGGCGTAGCGCTAACCGCTAATCCGTGAAAGCGCATCATCCATTTGGCGTCCTCTGGTCTAACACCGTTTGAGACTGGGCTCTAAAGAAAGCTGCCTCTGGTGTGGACCAATCAGTTTGAAATACAATGCATCACATACTATCAGAGCATGTTTTTTGTTTGTATTTTCACCACAAGTATCTGCGGTTAATGCAGACATGATTCCTTGTAAAAGGTTTCAGTTTGGTGTTTGAACGTCTCAACACGACAGTTTTGTTGCCAGAAAAAAGGGGAAAACCTATTTTTATATTTTGACCCTGGCAAAGGAGGTCCCATGACTAGCATCATCGCCGCGATTGAACAGGACCGACACCGCCGAGTGGCGTTGTTGACGCTCGTCCACACGTTTACGCTCGTCCACGCGTTTTCCAATACCTCCGCGCTCGTCGCGGAGGTATTGGAATCTGCCGGCCCCGTCGGATTCTGATATCTCGGAGGCTCACGACGTGTCGGTCGGCCAGCCTCCCCCGTGACGGAGCCGTGCGCTGTGCGTTCCCCAAACCGTGCCGTGGCGGTGGCGGCGGCGGCAGACGGAGCCGGCCCGAGGACCGAACCGCGGTCCGGGCGCCTCGCAGCGACGACGACGGCCGGGGACGCCGCCGACAGCAGGCGGCACGTCTGCACGCGGTGCGGCCGCGGCTTTGCGCGGCACGGCGACCTGAGGAATCACGCGCAGACGCACGTCGGCGGTGGCGGGGAGAAGCCGCACGCGTGCGGAGACTGCGGCCGAGCCTTCTCCCACCGCTACCTCCTGGAGATCCACGCGCTCGTCCACACGGGCGAGCGGCCCCACGTCTGCGGCGATTGCGGCCGCGGCTTCGTGCGGTCCGGCGACCTGAGGAAACACGTGCGGACTCACGCGGCCGGCGCCGGTGGCAGCGGCGGGGAGGACCCGCACGCGTGCGGCGACTGCGGCCGCGCGTTCTCCCACCGCCACCTCCTGGAGATCCACGCTGCTGAGCCACACGGGCGAGCGGCCGCACGCTTGCGGCGACTGCGGCCGCGGGTTCTCGCGCCGCGGCGACCTGAGGAACCACGCGCGGACGCACGGGGCCGGCGGCAGGGAGAAGCCGCACGCGTGCGACGAATGCGGCCGCCGCTTCGCGCGGCGCGGCGACTTGAGGAAATCACGCGCGGACTCATGCGGCGGTGGATTCCCGCGATGGGCGTCTGGAAGCGCCGGATCAGAACTTCGTCGAAGTTGAGTTGTCCGAAGAGGAGGACGTTGGTGGAGGTGAGAGTTCATACACAGAGAGACAAAGATCCCCCGTGTAGCCCCTAATGGGCTGTTGGGGCAAGTGCTATTAGCGAGTAGCACCGTAGGAAGGCCGCCACGGTACACGAGGGGGTGGGGTGGCCATGCCTGGCCGCCTTTGACTCCCTAGTGGCGATGTTTACTATGCACCAGACCAGGTGTTAATTTGAGGCTGAGTCGACCTAAGGGGAGATGCAGGCCCAGTTCAGATAATCGCCACTGGTGGTGATGCTGGTGGTGGCCGTGAGTGGGAATCGAATTGTGGTCTCTGCCGGCTTCATAGCGCGGCGTAGCGCTAACCGCTAATCCGTGAAATCGCATCATCTATTTGGCGTCCTCCGGTCTAAGAGACTCGGCTCTAAAGAAAGCTGTCTCTGGTGTGGACCAATCAGTTTTAAAGGCAATGCATCGTATACTATCAGAGCGTGTGTTTTTTTTGTATTTTCACCACAGCAGTAGAGCTGCTGAACCTAGCAGTTCCACTGCTGGATTTTTTTTTCCGCCTGAGGACGACCGCTTGTGTCGCGTGAATGGGTCCGTTGGTGGCGATGAGGCTGCAAGACGGGCGCCATGTTTGTTTCAGCTGCCTCGCCACGAGATCGGACGGCTCCTCAGATGGCTTCGCCACTTCCTGCACCTCCTCCGCTCGTCAAACAAGAGACCGATGATGAGGAGAGCCCAGCCACTGGGAGGAGTCCTGATCTGCCGGTGAAACGTGAAGACGCCGCCGCTGATAACGGCGGCGATGAAGCAGCCGGTGAGGTCGCTCAGAGCGTCTCCTGTCACCGTCACCTGGTTTGGACCAGGGGTGGTGCTATCATGAACCGCCTGAGACAGAGAGAGACACCCAGACCCAGGGCTTGAACCCAGCTTCTCCGTGTCTTTGGCTCAGTGTCTCTGGCTTGGTCATCATGAACCCTCTGAGACAGAGAGAGACACCCAGACCCAGGGCTTGAACCCAGCATCTCCGTGTCTCTGGCTTGGTCATTATGAACCCCCTTAGACAGAGAGAGATACCCAGACCCAGGGCTTGAACCCAGGATCTCAGTGTCTCTGGCTCAGTGTCTCTGGATTGGTCATTATGAACCCCCTGAGAAAGAGGGAGACACCCAGACCCAGGGCTTGAACTCAGCATCTACGCGGCTCTGGCCCAGCCACCGTCTCCCTGAGCCTCTCGGTCTCCTCTTATCTGTGCAGCAGCGGCAGCAGCAGCAGCGTGTGTGTGCGCGTGCAGCAGGAGCGGTCGTGAAGCAGGAGGAGGGTGAGGGCCGTCTGGGCCGCGAGATCGTGAGGACGCTGGTGAAGAGCGAGGTGGAGGAGGAGGACGGTGAGTGAGGCAGCGAGAGAATTTTACTTTTCGCAGCGAGGGCAGAAACCTTGACAAGATATTTGCAGAGGGGCTTTGATCATCCAGCCAAGCATCTTGTGTCTCTCTCCTCGCCAGCTGCCCAAGCCGCCCACGTCTCCCCGCCCTCGCGCTCCGGACGCTGGTTAAGGCTCCCTCCCTCCCACCCTCCTTGAGCTGGCTCCATGCTTGAGCGCTCGGTTGTGCAACTGAATCCATGTGGATCCCGCACGCCCCATGCCCCACGATTCACTCTCTCACCCACAGCTCCAGACCTGAAGATCGTTAAGGTTGAAGAAGCGACCGAGATATCGGATGAAGCGGCGGCGGATTCCCGCGATGGGCGTCTGGAAGCGCCGGACCAGAACTTCGTCGAGGTTGAGTTGTCCGAAGAGGAGGACGTTGGTGGAGGTGAGAGTTCATACACAGAGAGACAAAGATCCCCCGTGTAGCCCCTAACGGGCTGTTGGGGCAAGTGCTGTTAGCGAGTAGCACCGTAGGAAGGCCGCCACGGTAAACACGAGGGGGTGGGGTAGCCATGCCTGTCCGCCTTTGTCTCCCTAGTGGCGATGTTTACTACGCACCACACCAGGTTTTTTCGGTAAAGTCACAGTATGTAAAACAATCAATAAAATAAATGAAAACAACTCAATTAAATCACGACGTTTTGGAGGCAACACAAGCTTCCTTCATGTGTAAAAAAAAGGCACAGCAAAATAACTGTAGCGAGAGTTACTTGTGATGAGACATTGTTACATAGGGTAGGAGGAGGGGGAGGAGCCAAGGAGGACAGGCGCAAGATGGGGGGGGTATTTGGGGGGTGGGTGGAGCCAGGAAGGTGAAGGTGGTACTACACGACGGAGCCACGGATAGGGGGAGGGTGGACGCAGAGCGGGGGAGAGTAGCGGTTGAGGTTTAACATATTTACTTTAACACGGAGCAGGCTTTCGCGACCAATATTATTCATAATCAACGTTTTTGGGTTTAGATGGCGTTATTTATAAATGTGTCATAACCCTCCACCACCCGACACGGCCAATCAGTAAAAAAGTGTCACGTTGACAAAAGACAAATAGTTCACTGCTTTAGCCCACCGGTGTGTTGAAGCGTGAAACCACAACATTTACAATTTTTTACTGATTGGCCGTGTCGGGTGGTGGAGGGTTACGACACATTTATAAATAACGCGATCTAAACCCAAAAACGTTGATTATGAATTAACATGGTTAATCACATCTGTCCAATGATTGCTCAATTCGAATCCATCTTCTCGGTTGAAGTTATGTCTATGTTTGTATATCTGCATGGCCTCATGGACAAACAAATTCTTTGTTACAACGCTGTGGGTGATCATGATATTGTTTTTTCCGATACCAAGGTACTCTGCAAGCCGTCTGGATACCACCAAAGATTTGTTTGTTGGTATTTTCACCACAAGTATCTGTGGTTAATGCAGACGTGATTCCTCGTAAAAAAGGTTTTAGTTTGGTGTTTTAACATCTTAACACAACTATTTTGTTGCCAGAAAAAAGGGGAATACCTCTTCTTATATTTTGACACTGGCAAAGGAGGTTTCATGACTAACGTCATCGCCGCGAGTGAAGAGGACCGATACCGCCGAGTGGCGTTGTTGACACTCGTTCACACGTTTACGTACTTAATTTGGAGCTTTCATACTTAATTTGGAGCTTTCGTGACTGCAGGAATTACTCTTTGGTTCTTTCGGTAAAGTCACGTATCAAGAGAAAATAATAAATTAAATACTAGCATACGATGTTTCGATTGCAACACAAGCAATCATCATCAGGTATAAATGAAATAGAAACACAAATCTCGTATACTTAGAAATGTAATGTAATACAACAGAGAGTCGGATAACATAACAGTCAACACCCTACCTGGTTGATTACGTTCTTCCTGAGAATGCTAAATTTGAGAGAGAGCTCAAACACAGAACCAGAGACATATAGACAGACATATAAGTAGAGACAGATATCACAGAGATACATAGAGAGACGTACATTCATTTATACCTGCTGATTGCTTGTGTTGCAATCGAAACGTCGTATGCTAGTATTTAATTTATTACTTTCTTTATATACGTGACTTTACCGAAAGAACCACAGAGTAATTCCTGCAGATATCACAGAGATACATAGAGAGACGTACATTCATTTATACCTGATGATGATTGCTTGTGTTGCAATCGAAACGTCGTATGCTAGTATTTAATTTATTACTTTCTTTTTATACGTCACTTTACCGAAAGAACCACAGAGATACATAGAGAGAGACGTACATCGGCACACGTTTACACTCGTCCACGCGTTTTCCCATACCTCCACGCCCCATCGGATTCCGATATCTCGGAGGCTCGCGACGTATCGGTCGGCCAGCCTCCCCCGTGACCGAGCCGTGCGCTGTGCGTTCCCCAAACCGCGGTGGCGGCGGCAGACGGAGCCGGGGACACCACCGGCGGCAAACGGCACGGCTGCCCGCGGTGCGGCAAGCGCTTCGCCCACCGCTACCTCCTGGAGATCCACGTGCTGAGCCACACGGGGGAGCGTCCGCACGTCTGCGGCGACTGCGGCCGCGGCTTCGTGCGGCTCGCCGACCTGAGGAAGCACACGCGGACTCACGCGGCCGCCGGCGGCGGCGTGGAGAAGCCGTACGCGTGCGGGGACTGCGGGCGGGCGTTCTCCCACCGCTACTTCCTGGGGATCCACGCGCGCGTCCACACGGGCGAGCGGCCGCACGCGTGCGGGGTCTGTGGCCGCACGTTCGCGCAGCGCTCCCACCTGGAGGCGCACACGAGGGGCTACCCGCCTGTGCCGAGTGCGGCCGGGGCTTCTCACGCCGCTCCAACCTCAGTTCAAAGTTCAAAGTTAATTTATTAGTCTTCTTGGTTCTTTCGGTAAAGTCACGTAGAAGGGAAATAAAAAAAAGAATTCTCACGACGTTTACTTCCCTTCTACGTGACTTTACCGAAAGAACCAAGAAGATGAATCCCTGCAGTCACGAAAGCTTTACATCGACATTTAATTTATTAGGTATAGCCCTGTGAGCCATTCGGCTCTTGAATCGGGTGCAACCGCAACAAACAAAAACATGAACAAGAAAACATCTTAATGTGAATATGTGACTAAGTGCAAACAGAAAATCCAAGAAAAGACAGCAAAATATTGCAGAAAAAAAGCACCGTACACCAACGCTGTGTGCAAAAATCCCAGTGGGATGCAAGTCAAACAACAACAACCACAAGACAACTTAGATTAAGGCCATCAGTCTAACTCTGTACTACAACAACACAAACATGGCCAAACCAAAAAACTTTTCGAAAATCACCAAAATAAAGCCATAAAAGCAATGAAACAGTGCAGGTCACAGGAACTGTGACCGAATTTTCACAATAAACGACGTAAACAACATGTACTACCAAACTCCGCAGCCATAGCTGGCTGCATGAGTCACTCCACAACCTGAAGATGCACGGCGCGGCGGACGCACGTCGGGACGCCGATGCCGCTTCCGCGCCCGGGAGCTGACCGGGCGCGCAAACGTTGGGGACCGCAGGAGCTCGGGCGATCGTCGGAGACGATTCTTCGCTGCTGCCGCTGCCGCCGCTGCCTTCCCACGCTCGTCTGCGCCTCTGTGGGACCCACTGCGCACGTTGATAATTCTCCAGCGGTTTGCTCGAATGAGCCCGGCAGGGGCTGGACTTTGGAGGCAGCGGTGCCGCTGTGCCGGGAAGTTATCTCGCTCACCCGGCATGCAGGAGGCCGTGGGGGTGGATCCCGACCCCTGACGTTTCTACCTCTCCCTCCTTACCTCTCTACCTCCCTCACTCTCTCCCTACCGCTCTAACCTCCTTTGTTTCTTAAAAAAAATTTCGATCAGAAGAAAAACAAAAAATGCTCGGTTAGGCGGCACTCGGCTTCGTTCATCATGTCGTTTTTTAAATAAAAGTTTGGCTTTCACGGCGTTTTTCTTTTTCATATAAACACGAAATATTAGGCGTGTACCTCCTTTTCCCATGTAACAGAAAGCCCGTCGTGGGCTGTGTTCACAGACACAACGTTAAAAAAACACCTTTAAACACCCGTCAGTCGCATCACACAGCACCCACTGCGGCCGAACGCGTCGAAAAGGATGGAACTCGCTCGTCGACTGTGCGGAGCGAAATTCTCGCAGAAACCACCAGGGCCTTGAACATGCGGCAGTGGCTGAATTAGGCCAATGCCCTCGATTGCACGTTGACTGGCGCTACAGATCGCCAGTTTCGCATCGTTTGTGACGAAGTTCTTGAAGCCCTCTTATAAATATTCATATTCTTGGGTTTTTTTGGTAAAGTTACGTAGGTAAAAAATTCAAGTTAATAAAAGTAATATAAAAATAAAATAAAAATCACGACGTTTCGGAGGCAACACAAGCTTCCGTTTTCAGGTGGACCCGTCACAACACGATAGCTGTATCAAGTGAGAGAAATTCCAAGAACACAGTCCTTGTATATATACTGGTTGAGGGTGGGAGGAGCCAAGGTAGGCACCTGAATATTATTTGTGTGAGGTTCGGTGCGGCTGAAGCACGCTGTTAGGAATGAGCCTTTGTTGTGTAAACTAGGTGCGGCTGATGTGAAGGTGCGTGTAAATGGGACAGAGCCTTTTGTTATGTAGAGGTGATGCGGCTGAAATCGCTGCCAGGAAATGAGTCTTTGTTGTGTAGAATGGTTGACTGAGTCTTTTGTTATGTAGAGGTGGTGCGGCTGAAATCGCTGCCATGAATGCTCCAAATATGTGTAGTTAAATCTTATAAACTTTGGGGTCTACATTCTCGCAATGTCCAAAATTAAGAATCGCGGGAGAGAAATTAAGCTTAAATGACACTAAGTTATTTTGTATCAGTTTGAAAAAGTGAGTTGAGGCTTTGACAATGTATGTAACCGATGCGCTTCTGTTTCATTCCAGCGTGGAATAAACATTCTGGCTTAATATCTGTGAAACATGCCCGAAAATGACGTGTGGTCATAGTTGTCGCGTTAACCATAAAATAAAATATTTAAAAAGTACTTTTTCAAAAAACACGCTTTAATGAAATGTACTATCCGAGCTGCCCCTCCCCCTGCCGCCTTCCCCCATGGCCCCTCCCCTCCTTCCACATGCCCCGCCCCTGGGCGTGGCTCCCCGAGGCTTGCCGTGACGTCAGGGACCACGTGGTGATTTACAGGCAACGTGAGTTGAGCGTCGACAATTATAGCCGTAAAAAAGATTGTTTAAAAATATTTATTTTGAATGTTCAATAATAGAATATAGTATTGTCATCAGTATGACATAGCTATACCACGTTTGCAGTCGATACATTGGGAATACGGTTGAAATTGAGTTACAAGATTTTTGGATACAACACATACAGTAAGTTAAATAAAAGCGTGTAAACAGATTTAAAATATGTTTTGGACTCAACACTGCACCATAGACTCAGCACTGCACCGTAGACTCAACACTGCACCATAGACTCAACACTGCACCATAGACTCAACACTGCCCATAGACTTAACACTGCACCATAGACTCAACACTGCCCATAGACTTAACACTGCACCATAGACTCAACACTGCACCATAGACTCAACACTGCACAATAGACTCAACACTGCCCATAGACTCAACACTGCACCATATCCTCAACACTGCCCATAGACTCAACACTGCACCATAGACTCAACACTGCACCATAGACTCAACACTGCACAATAGACTCAACACTGCACCATAGACTCAGCACTGCACCATAGACTCAGCACTGCACCATAGACTCAACACTGCACCATAGACTCAACACTACCCATAGACTCAACACTGCACCATAGACTCAACACTGCACCATAGACTCAACACTACCCATAGACTCAACACTGCCCCATAGACTCAACACTGCACCATAGACTCAACACTACCCATATACTCAACACTACCCATATACTCAACACTGCTCCGTAGACTCAACACTGCACCATAGACTCAACACTGCACCGTAGACTCAACACTGCACCGTAGACTCAACACTGCACCGTAGACTCAACACTGCACCGTAGACTCAACACTGCACCACAGACTCAACACTGCACCATAACCTCAACACTGCACCATAACCTCAACACTGCACCATAGACTCAACACTGCACCGTAGACTCAACACTGCACCGTAGACTCAACACTGCACCATAACCTCAACACTGCACCATAGACTCAACACTGCCCATAGCCTCAACACTGCACCATAGACTCAACACTGCCCAGACGAATAATGTCAATACTCACATTGTCCTGCTGATGAAGGACCGTATATCAAAACCGGTCTAGCATTGTGTTGAACCAATGCTGCTAAAATTATGCACTCTTAGGAGGCCGCGTGGCTGACGGGATGTGCTAAATAATATATTTAGATCGTGTAGAGACAAATGAATGAAGATTTATATATAGTCTGCTTATCTAACACATTGTCCTGCGGAGGGAGCTGGTATGAACGTTGGGTTGCTCGGTCAATGGCCAGGGTCAATGGCGGCGTGGTGTATTCCGCAAATATGGCCGACTGTGAGGGCGGGCACAAGCCGGCGTGAGTAGGTTAAACGTTGAGTTTTATAAGGGCACCATGGGGTGACCAGCCCCTCCCCACCCAGCCCATCCCCACCCTCCCAGCCCCACCCTCTCCACCCAGCCCCTCCCCACCCAGCCCATCCCCACCCTCCCCACCCAGCCCCTCCCCTCTCCACCCAGCCCCACCCCTCCCATTCTTGGATGCACGACGGACGGACAGAATAATCCCCTGTGGGCTGGTGGAACCAAGAGGTTACTACCAGTATCGTTTAATGTATTCTCTATAGTGACTGACAGTGTGTGGGGAGCGGTGGCGCAGCGGTTAGTGCTGCGTTACGAACCCGGCAGATTCCAAATTTCGATTCCTGCTCATGGCCAAGACCAACAACAGCGATAGCTTTTATGGGAACCGGTCCTGGACCTCCCCTGGGTCGATTTTCAGCTTCAAAAATGAGTACCTGGTGCGGTGTAAATAAACATTGCCCATTGAGGAGACAAAGGGGGGATGGTGCAGAGGTCGCAAACGGGTTTTGATTCCTTACCCGTACCCGGCCGCACCAGGGTCGAAAACGGGTACCCGTAACCCTACCCGATACCCGGCTACCCGTACCCGGCTGGGTATCTGATAGGGTACGGCTACCCGATTGCGACCTCTGGGATGAAGCCATGTTGCAGGCGCGGGTGGGTTGATTCTAGGAACTTGAATTGTGATAAGAGACAAGACGTTGGGAAATGAGTGACAAACGGCGACTCACCAGTTACTCACAGCCTACCCGTACCCGGCAGCACCAGGGTCGCAAACGGGTACCCGTACCCGGCCGGGTATGGGTAGCCGGGTATCGGGTAGGGTACGGGTATCGGGTACCCGGTTGGGACCTCTGCTCGACGCCGAAGTTTGAATCGCCGCCAAAAAAGAAAGTAAAAGAAGCCAACGGGGCACTGCGGATCGCCCCACTTCCAACCTTGGAGACCGCGTGCTCCTCATGCCCAAAGATCCAACTGCAGATCCACAATTGGGACTAGTCAGCCACCTTAAGAGCCGCCAGGGAACTTGATGGACATCATCCTCGAACCAAGAGGGACTACTGCCGACGACGACGACAAACATGCACGAAGCGGGTTAGGACATCACCACAATGACAGATGACTCGTGGGAGGCTTGTGTTGCATGAACTGTGATTTAATTGACCTCGCACGTGAATCTTTATTCGTGGGGCAGAACAGCAAATCACATAAACACGACACGAATCGTGAAACACAATTTACAGAGTCGTTCATGGGCAAGCGATATCGCGATAACCGTAAAGTCGCGAAATGTAATATCGTATCGTAGAGGTTTCAGACCTGTAACTGCCCACTCACGCTGCTCCTTATGGAAGGAGCATTCACAAGAGGAAACTCTAAGGGGGGGGAGGGGGGGGTATAATTGGCCTACTCTTCCACCCTGCCAGACGTAATGGAAGGGGATCGTATCTTATCGCGAGAGATTTGCATCACGCGTCGCCGTTTGATAAATCTACTGTTTGCGTTGGACGAGTGTGGGCTATGGCGCCAATAGAAAGCCGGCAACCCCAGTTAAAGAGAACAAAATAAATCAATATAAATAAGATTACTGCTACCCAAACAATGCCTGGCCACAGCCCTCCACATCACGACCAATCTGCTTTGCTTTTCTTCTTTCCATATTGTAGATTTACTCTCACCGCCCCGCCTGTTAACCTACCTCTGGGGCTAGAGTACATCAAATGCCCTGAAGATTTGCGGTAAGTCTGGCAGGCTACAAATGACAGTACGATCAAAACTGTCGGAAGAGAAGGCGAATCGTAAGTCAAAGAACTGTGGAACGGGACGTTGTAGTGTGATCATAACTCCTTAAAACTTATATAGGTCATAACTCTAAAGTAAGAGTCCTTGCTGAAGAGACAACTGATCGCAAGTCAAAGTCAGGTAAAAGTATAGCGCATTGTAGTGAGATTGAAACTCCTTAAACTTACCTATGTCGTAGTGAGATGTTAACTCTTAACGCAAGTAAGATTCCTTAAGAGAAAACTGATCGTAAATCAAAGTAATGTAAAACGAGTGTGTCGTAGTGAGAATGTTATTACTTGAACTTACATATGACGTAGTGGTGAAATCGTAACTCTCTTAACTCAAACAAGATCCGTTGCTTAGGAGAAAACTGATTGTAAGTCAAAGCAATGTAAAAAGGAGAGTCTGATAATAGTTTTTTTACCCTTCTATCTGGCAACAAAACTGACACCTTTTTACAAGGAGTCATGTTTACATAGACCACAATACCTGCGGTCATAATGCAAACAAAAATAAAAAACATAACTCTGATAATGTGCACTGTCCTTGAAGTTGATTGGTCCACACCCGAGACAGCTTTCCTTAGAGCCTAGTCTCACATGGGTTGGACCAGATGACGCCTTTTGGCGTCTTTTGGCGTCATCTGGTCCAACCCATGTGAGACTAGGCTCTAAGGAAAGCTGTCTCGGGTGTGGACCAATCAACTTCAAGGACAGTGCACATTATCAGATTTATGTTTTTTTGTTTGCATTATGACTGCAGGTATTGTGGTCTATGTAAACATGACTCCTTATTAAAAGGTGTCAGTTTTGTTGCCAGATAGAAGGGTAAAAAAACAATATCATATTTTGACTGGCAAATGAGGTTCCAAGGAGAGTCTGGTAGCGATATAGTAACTCCTTAAAGTTACATGTGATAAGTCCTAGTGAGATCGCAACTCTCTCAACTCCCGAACTACCCGTTGTTCGGCATCCCGTCATCACTCCCACGACCCCAGACTGGCCGTCTAAAATTATAGTACGGTCATGAAATGTCACAAGTGAAAAAACGTATCCAAAGTCAAAGAATGGGTGTCGTATTGAGATCCTGACAACCATACACTCGTAAGAGCCGTTGCTAGGGACTGCATCATCACTCCCACTGGACCAATCGCTGGTCAAGACATCCCTCAGCATCGTGTCCACGTTGCTAGGGATTGCATCATCACTCTCACTGGACCAATCGCTTGTCAAGACAACCCTCAAACAACGTCATCGCTCTGTAAATCCAAGCTGATTTGTTATTGTTGTTACGAGAGCTCCAGACCAAACGCAAGAATCATCGTCGCAATGCTCTACTTACTTGAGTTAAGAGAAAATCGGATCTCAAACCGAACTTACGACATTGCTACGACGTCGGAGCACGTTCTGTACTCTGGCCCCTGGCCATCACCTGACCTTATACACCCGCAAGTTGCCAAACCCAACTGCACCAAAACTCATGGACAAATGGCCTCAAAGGGCGATGGGCAGAGGTCACAAACGGGTTTTGATTCCTTACCCGTACCCGGCCGCACCAGGGTCGCAAACGGGTACCCGTACCCTACCCGTACCCGGCCGGGTACGGGAAGGGTACGGGTATCGGGTATCTGATTGCGACCTCTGGGATGAAGCCATTTTGCAGGCGTGGGTGGGTTGATTCTAGGAACTTGGATTGTGAGAAGAGACAAGACGTTGGGAAATGAGTGACAAACGGTGACTCACCAGTGACTCACAGTCTACCCGTACCCGGCCGCACCAGGGTCAGCAAACGGCTACCCGTACCCGGCTGGGTACGGGTACCCGGTTGCGACCTCTGGTGATGGGGGCCGTACCTGCGTTAGCCTCTTTCTCTCTCCCACGCGTTCACCGACTCTTGCCCTACCCCGTATTGTCTAACATCTCACCAGTGCCACTATGATCCACGCGGAGTAGAACAAACATCATGGGTGGCTGTCATCCACCAAGACCGCTGAACAGTGGCAACAAAGCAACTCATCGGCCGACAACCAACGTGGCTGAACACCCAATGAACCCAGCCGTCAATTTAAAAGTCGTGTCGCCGTTCCAAAAGTCCGTTGCCAATCTCTGTGGCAGCATGCTGTACCAAATTACAAGTGGTATTTCTGCATCCATCCGCCTTCCTGTAAAACATCTAAAGGTGTCGCTGCTAATGAGATACGATCCCAACCGAAACACGGTCCATTGCCGATGGCTGTGTGACATTCGCCAGCTTTCTCTTGGGAGAAACCACACAAGCCAAATGTTCGGCAAATCCGCTAAAGAGTCTCCCACGAACTTAAGGAGAGGTCTAATACATCAAGTAACAAACCAGTCAGTTGAGTTGGACAGACTGGCAATGGCAGTTTCTTCCACTAGAATTATAATTCGGTCCAGTTTGTTGTCTTTGTTTGGGGTCCCAGTGTGTGTATTGCAATAAATGATATTTAATTTCGTTAAGTCTAACAGAGTTTCAAGGGGATTCAGATTTAGCTCTGAGGCCATCTTCTAGGGCCAACGTCTGCCTCTTTTGACCTCTCTCAAAACAACACATGGGGGCCACTAATTCCGTGAAGCTCACCCATTAATTTCTCTATCCATGTTGAGGACCCGGTCCACCAGACTGTTTCAACTCACCCATCACATTGTCCAACGACCGCACTGCCGATCACAACAACTCACAAACCCACCCGTCCACTCACTCACTCACTCACCCACCCGCTCCGTAATTCACTCACGTACCACACGACAAGTCACAAACACTTCTTCGTATGCTTCATCCCTCGCACTGTTCCACTTTGGAATTCCCTCCTCCCATCATCATCATCATCATCGCTGCCTCAATTCCCCCCCCCCATCATCCCAAAGTTTTCAACAGTAACCTCGGTCAATTCAAGAAACGTATTAACACTCTCATATACGACACCTTCAAGAGGTACTGTTTGTTGCTGGTCGCGTGGCGTGTTGGAGCCTTGGCACCTGTGCTCAGCAGGAGCGATTGCAAAAAAATTCAATCCGATTTGAGATCTTGCCCACACTCGGGAGCGAGCTTCCGTCACAAGGTCAGCACCTTCCTCAAAAACTTAAAAAAAAACGATCCCAAAAGATAATTACAACCGAGCACACACCCGTGAGTGTGCGCGCATGTTAATATTCATGTCATACAGATTCGGCAAAAACAAATCAAAGTCTTATGCTTCACAATGCATGCAATCAATCGATCAGGCAATTTCACGAATCTTATGTTTAAATTCGTGCAAGATTATCGTCGGTTGTTATACACCGCTACAAGTTTCAAGAGGGTGGCAAACGCCACAGATCGACTTCCACGTGCGTCGAGAGGCCAAAACCAATCACGGGCCTGACCTTGCCATTTTCACAATCCTCTCGACCGCCTTAACACTCCTCTCATTCCGGATCGGAAGACCCCTCCGGTAAAGCAAGGCACACCCCAAACGTGTGCCCGACATCAACAAAGTTGCACAGACCTGGCCTCATTCCCCCGCGTTGCCTGCAACAGGCTGTTGGGACGTGCAAGGCACACCCCAAACGTGCGCCCCACATCGACAAAGTTGCACAGACCTGGCCTCATTCCCCGCGTTGCCTGCAACAGGCTGTTAGGACGTGCAAGGCACACCTAAACGTGTGCCCGACGTCAACAAAGTTGCACAGACCTGGCCTCATTCCCCCGCGTTGCCTGCAACAGGCTGTTGGGACGAGCGTTGCGAGCGAGCGCCTGCTATGGTAAGTGCAGCACACGAGGAGGGATGGTGTGCTTAACACCACGCCCGGGCCGCCTATGTCTCACTGGCGACGAGGTTGACTACACATACCGCACCAGGTACTCATTTGAGGACTATTCGACGCAGGGGGGGGGAAGAGATCTAGGACCGGGTCCAGGTATTCGCAGTCACCGTTATTGGTAACAGAACTCAGCTAAGCAATGTGCCACCACTCCCCGCACACTCTCGCACACACGTACCGGATTATAAGACACCCACCGGGCAACGTTCAAGGTCTAAAACACAGGGGAGGGAAAAAGTGCATCTTCGTACGATCCGGAAAATGCAGTGAACACTTTTTTTGTTTTTTTACACCACCTCAGCCATGCTATGGGGCCCACAATGCTTTGGTGTGACGTGCTCTCGCTACCAATCACAAGCCGGGAAACCCGGCAGCATTTACGCTGAAGGCGCCCGCAGCCGTGGACGCGTGAATCACGTTCCCCACAGTGTGTTTGGTTGATGGCGCTTGTGACTTTTCGACCCTCGTCCGGCATCGTCACGACGCGCGGGCCGGATGCCACGCGACGCTTCACACAACCGCAGATTCTGCTGCGGCCGCAGCAGCAGCAGCAGCTGCTGGTAAATATCCGTGGATGCACAATATTCCCGCGGCTGCATAATCTGCTCCTGGCAGCGGTTGCTGTCCCAATCGTTTGCGCTGCCGCAGAATCTGCTTCTGTCACTGCTAGAAGTTAATTATCAGCTGCTGCTCAATCCGCAGCTGCTACACACATTGGCCGCTGCTGTAAAACTCTGCTGCCGCTGTGCGGACTGCTGCTGCAGCTTCTGCATGGGTCGTCTTCGCCTCGACCCTGAGGTGCTTTTCACAGAGTCAAAGACCGCATGGGTGCTACGTCCGCTCTCTCTCCACTGCGGCCACAACCGCAACGTTCACCGCCGCTGGCGGTCAAGTTCCCCGCCGCTGGCGGTCAAGTTCCCCGCGGCGTTCCGCTCGACATGCCACCTCATCCTCGGCGCTTGCAGCAGGGCGACCTCAGCAGGGCGGCGGCCGTAACCTCGGCAGCGTCAGGTCCAGGGTCGAGCTCGGCTCCGCAGCGCAACGAGAACACCGGGGGAAGAGGTGGAGGTCGCAAAACCCGCCCAGATTTGGTTTTGTCCCGACACGGTTCGGGACGCAGCGCGCTCTGGCGCGTCTCTTCGCGTGACGGACACGAGGTGGTGGCTTCGTCTCGGCGGTTCGTACAACATTTTGCAAATGAGGGGGCGGGGGGCGAAAAATCATTTGCGGATCTTTCAGATGTCATTTAGAATCCGGAATTCGGGCAGGCGCCCCCGTTGACCGCCAGTCACTTTAGCGATTCACGCCAATTCCTTCGTTGGGATTCCTTCTCCAACAAAGCCCTGCCCCCGGCCGCTACCACCACCACCACCACCTGGCCACCACCACCACCACCACCGCCTGGCCACCACCACCACCACCTGGCCACTACCACCACCACCTGGCCACCACCACCACCACCTGGCCACCACCACCACCACCTGGCCACCACCACCACCGTCCGGCCACCACCACCACCGTCCGGCCACCACCACCACCGTCCGGCCACCACCACCACCGTCCGGCCACCACCACCACCGTCCGGCCACCACCACCACCACCACCGTCACCGCCCGACCACCCCTCCGCCCCCCGGCCACCCGGCCAGCCGTCCCGACTCTCAATTGCTCCAGTCGACGGAGTGCGTTTTTGAATGCCTCTTGAGGTTGTTGATCCAGGAGAAGCCCTTGCCGCACTCCTTGCACACGTGCGGCTTCTCGCCCGTGTGGGTCCTGTAGTGGGTCTCCAGGTTGTAGCGGTGCGCGAAGCCTTTCCCGCACTCGTCGCACGCGTGCGGCCACTCGCCCGTGTGGGTGCGCGCGTGCGTCGCCAGGATGGAGGGCCGCGTGAACGCCTTTCCGCACTCGTCGCAAACGTGCGGCCTCTCGCCCGAGTGGGATCGAGCGTGCCTCTTGAGGTGGGAGCGCTGCGCGAAGCCCTTGCCGCACTCGGGGCACGCGTGCGGCCTTTCGCCCGTGTGCTTCTGAGCGTGCGCCTTGAGCGAGGAGGCGTGCAGGAAACCGCGGCCGCACACCTCGCACACGTGCGGCCTCTCGCCCGTGTGGATCTTGGCGTGCGCGTCCAGGATGCAGCGCTGCGTGAAGCCCTTGCCGCACTCGCCGCACGAGAAGGGCCGCTCGCCCGAGTGCTTCTTGGCGTGCACGCGCAGCGACGACGCGTGCAGGAACGCCCGCCCGCACTCGGCGCACGAGTGCGGGCGTTCGCCGGTGTGCATCTTGGCGTGCGTCTCCAGCACGGCGCGACGCGTGAACCCGCGGCCGCACTCCTTGCAGGAGAAGGGCTTCTCGCCCGTGTGGGTCTTGACGTGGCGCTTCAGCTTGAAGTAGTGCGAGAAGAGCTTTCCGCACTCGTCGCAAACGTGCCTCACCTCGCTCGTGACGCTCGTCACCTTCTGCGCCGCGCTCGCCGGCTTGCCGCTGCCGCCGCTGCCCCCGCCGCTGCTGCTGCTGCCGCTGCTGACGCTGCTGCTGCTGCTACTGCTGCTGCTCGAGTTGGCCTGCGCGGAGACCTTGCCGGACGCCCGGGCCGAGCGCAGTCGCCGCTCCTCGACCGTCGTCGCCGTCCTCCTCCTCTGCTGCCGGTTGATGGACCAGGTGGCGCCGTGCAGGGACTTGCCGCAGTGCGCGCAGGCGCGTCGGCTCTGCTGGCCGTGGGCGCCGAGACGGCCCCGTGCCGTGCCCACACCGTCCTTCTTGCAGCGCTCGCACAGCGGGCCCACCGCCGCCGCTGCCGCCTCGTCTGCGGGACAGCGCGGGGAGCGTTAGGCGGTGCTGGCGGTGGTGGTGGTGGTTAGCGATGAAGCACAAAGTCAACACTGCACCATAGACTCAACACTGCACCATAGACTCAACACTGCATCACAGACTCAACACTGCACCATAGACTCAACACTGCACCATAGACTCAACACTGCATCACAGACTCAACACTGCACCATAGACTCAACACTGCACCATAGACTCAACACTGCACCATAGACTCAACACTGCACCATAGACTCAACACTGCATCATAGACTCAACACTGCACCATAGACTCAACACTGCACCATAGACTCAACACTGCATCACAGACTCAACACTGCACCATAGACTCAACACTGCACCATAGACTCAACACTGCATCACAGACTCAACACTGCACCATAGACTCAACACTGCACCATAGACTCAACACTGCATCATAGACTCAACACTGCACCATAGACTCAACACTACCCATAGACTCAACATTGCACCATAGACTCAACACTGCACCATAGACTCAACACTGCACCATAGACTCACCACTGCACCATAGACTCAACACTGCACCATAGACTCAACACTGCACCATAGACTCAACACTGCACCACAGACTCAACACTGCACCCATAGACTCAACACTGCACCATAGACTCAACACTGCACCATAGGACTCAACACTGCACCATAGACTCAACACTGCACCATAGACTCAACACTGCACCATAGACTCAACACTGCACCATAGACTCAACACTGCACCATAGACTCAACACTGCACCATAGACTCAACACTGCACCATAGACTCAACACTGCACCATAGACTCAACACTGCACCACAGACTCAACACTGCACCACAGACTCAACACTGCACCATAGACTCAACACTGCACCATAGACTCAACACTGCACCATAGACTCAACACTGCACCATGGACTCAACACTGCACCATGGACTCAACACTGCACCACAGACTCAACACTGCACCACAGACTCAACACTGCCCCATAGACTCAACACTGCACCATAGACTCAACACTGCACCATGGACTCAACACTGCACCATGGACTCAACACTGCACCATAGACTCAACACTGCACCACAGACTCAACACTGCACCATAGACTCAACACTGCCCCATAGACTCAACACTGCCCCATAGACTCAACACTGCACCACAGACTCAACACTGCACCACAGACTCAACACTGCACCATAGACTCAACACTGCCCCATAGACTCAACACTGCACCACAGACTCAACACTGCACCACAGACTCAACACTGCCCCATAGACTCAACACTGCACCATAGACTCAACACTGCACCATGGACTCAACACTGCACCATGGACTCAACACTGCACCATAGACTCAACACTGCACCATGGACTCAACACTGCACCATAGACTCAACACTGCACCGTAGACTCAACACTGCACCATAGACTCAACACTGCACCATAGACTCAACACTGCACCATAGACTCAACACTGCACCATAGACTCAACACTGCACCATAGACTCAACACTGCACCATGGACTCAACACTGCACCATAGACTCAACACTGCACCATAGACTCAATACTGCCTATGGACTCAACACTGCACCATCAACCCAACACTTCCATAGACACAGCACTGCACCATAGGCCCAACACTGTACCATAGACTCAACACTGCACCATAGACTCACACTGCCCATAGACTCAACACTGCACCATAGACTCAACACTGCACCATAGACACAGCACTGCACCATAGGCCCAACACTGCCCATAGACGCATCATTGCTTATATACTAAACATTGCACATAGATCTTGACTTAAAGCTTTCGTGACTGCAGGAATTCATATTCTTTGGGTCTTTCGGTAAAGTCACGTAGAAAGGTTAAAAGAAAATTACAAATAACAAAAAACTACGACGTTTTGATCGCAACACAAGCGTTCGTCAACAGGATGATGTTATATTATTTTTTCTTTGAACCTATCTACGTGACTTTATCGAAAGACCCAAAGAATATTGCACATAGACTCAACACTGCACCATAGACTCAACACTGCACCATAGACTCAACACTGCAACACAGACTCAACACTGCCCATAAAACCAACACTGCCCATAGACCCAACACTGCCCATAGACTCAACACTGCAACACAGACTCAACACTGCCCATAGACTCAACACTGCAACACAGACTCAACACTGCCCATAGACTCAACAACGCACCATAGACCCAACACTGCCCATAGCCTCAACACTGCACCATAGACTCTACACTGCAACACAGACTCAACACTGCACCATAGACTCAACACTGCCCCATAGACTCAACACTGCGCCATAGACTCAACACTGCCCCATAGAATCAACACTGCCCATAGACTCAACACTGCACCATAGACTCAACACTGCCCATGGACTCAACACTGCGCCATAGACTCAACAACGCACCATAGACTCAACACTGCACAATAGACTCAACACTGCCCCATAGACTCAACACTGCCCATAGACTCAACACTGCCCCATTGACTCAACACTGTGCCATAGACTCAACACTGCCCCATAGACTCAACACTGCCCCATAGACTCAACACTGCGCCATAAACTCAACACTGCCCATAGACCCAACACTGCACCATAGACTCAACACTGCACCATAGACTCTACACTGCAACACAGACTCAACACTGCCCATAGACTCAACAACGCACCATAGACTCAACACTGCCCCATAGACTCAACACTGCGCCATAGACTCAACACTGCCCATAGACTCAATACTGCACCATAGACTCAACACTGCCCATGGACTTAGCACTGCACCATAGACTCAACACTGCCCCATAGACTCAACACTGCGCCATAGACTCAACAACGCACCATAGACTCAACACTGTACCATAGACTCAACACTGCCCCATAGACTCAACACTGCCCATAGACTCAACACTGCCCATACACTCAACATTGCACCATAGACTGAACACTGCCCATAGACTCAACACTGCCCATACACTCAACACTGCACCGTAGACTCAACACTGCACCATAGACTCAACACTGCCCATACACTCAACATTGCACCATAGACTCAACACTGCACCGTAGACTCAACACTGCACCATAGACTCAACACTGCCCATACACTCAACATTGCACCATAGACTCAACACTGCACCATAGACTCAACAACGCACCATAGACTCAACACTGTACCATAGACTCAACACTGCACCATAGACTCAACACTGCCCATAGACTCAACACTGCCCATACACTCAACACTGCACCATAGACTCAACACTGCACCATAGACTCAACACTGCACCATAGACTCAACACTGCCCATAGACTCAACACTGCCCATACACTCAACACTGCACCATAGACTCAACACTGCACCATAGACTCAACACTGCACCATAGACTCAACACTGCCCATAGACTCAACACTGCACCATAGACTCAACACTGCACCATAGACTCAACACTGCACCATAGACTCAACACTGCACCATAGACTCACACTGCACCATAGACTCAACACAGCCACATTGACAACAGCACTCCACATGGGCAACGGCGCGTCGTCAGGGTCCGGGATCGAACCCACGATCTCCTGCTGCTGCTGCAGCACCACCGCACATGCAACGGTTCTCTCAGCCTTGGTCCAAGGCCACCGTCAACTCGGGAAGCCCATTGGGCGAGCACTCGCCCCCCCCGCCGACAGCGTTGACGGCGACGATTCTCCCCCCTTACCTTGGTCTACGTCCTCGTCCGAGAACTCCATCTTGATGTAGCCTTGGTCCGCGTCGTCCAGGTACTCGGAGGAATCTTGGGCAGCCTCCTCCAACTCCTCCTCTGGAGTCTCATTGGCTCGCTCGAGTTTCACGGACTTCACACTCCGTGCTGCGCTCTCGGAACAAAGTGCACAGGCGGGCGCCGTTGTGTGAAGATGCCACGATTACGGTGGAGTCCGCGCTGCCGGAAACTCAAGAGGGACCGGCATAGGAGTCTCGTTTGCACTGATTGAGTTTGACCGGATGTTGCAATGTCGAGTCTATGGTGAGTCTATGGGCAGTGTTGAGTCTATGGGTAGTGTTGAGTCTATGGTGCAGTGTTGAGTCTATGGGCAGTGTTGAGTCTATGGTGCAGTGTTGAGTCTATGGTGCAGTGTTGAGAATATGGGCAGTGTTGAGTCTATGGGCAGTGTTGAGTATATGGGTAGCGTTGGGTCTATGGTGCAGTGTTGAGTCTATGGTGCAGTGTTGAGTCTATGGTGCAGTGTTGAGTCTATGGTGCAGTGTTGAGTCTATGGTGCAGTGTTGAGAATATGGTGCAGTGTTGAGTCTATGGGCAGTGTTGAGTCTATGGGCAGTGTTGAGTCTATGGGCAGTGTTGAGTCTATGGTGCAGTGTTGAGTCTATGGTGCAGTGTTGAGTCTATGGGCAGTGTTGAGTCTATGGGCAGTGTTGAGTCTATGGGCAGTGTTGAGTCTATGGGCAGTGTTGAGTCTATGTTGCAGTGTTGAGAATATGGGCAGTGTTGAGTCTATGGGCAGTGTTGAGTATATGGGTAGCGTTGGGTCTATGGTGCAGTGTTGAGTCTATGGTGCAGTGTTGAGTCTATGGTGCAGTGTTGAGTCTATGGTGCAGTGTTGAGTCTATGATGCAGTGCTGAGTCTATGGTGCGGTGTTGAGTCTATGGGGCGGTGTTGAGTCTACGGTGTTGAGTCTACGGTGCAGTGTTGAGTCTATGGTGCAGTGTTGAGTTTATGGTGCGGTGTTGAGTCTATGGTGCAGTGTGAGTCTATGAACAGTGTTGAGTCTACGGTGCAGTGTTGAGTCTATGGTGCAGTGTGAGTCTATGATCAATGTTGAGTCTACGGTGCAGTGTTGAGTCTACGGTGCAGTGTTGAGTCTATGGTGCAGTGTTGAGTCTATGGTGCAGTGTTGAGTCTATGGTGCAGTGTTGAGTCTATGGTGCAGTGTTGAGTCTATGGTGCAGTGTTGAGTCTATGGTGCAGTGTTGAGTCTATGGTGCAGTGTTGAGTCTATGGTGCAGTGTTGAGTCTACGGTGCAGTGTTGAGTCTACGGTGCAGTGTTGAGTCTACGGTGCAGTGTTGAGTCTACGGTGCAGTGTTGAGTCTACGGTGCAGTGTTGAGTCTACGGTGTTGAGTCTACGGTGTTGAGTCTACGGTGTTGAGTCTACGGTGTTGAGTCTACGGTGCAGTGTTGAGTCTACGGTGCAGTGTTGAGTCTACGGTGCAGTGTTGAGTCTACGGTGCAGTGTTGAGTCTACGGTGCAGTGTTGAGTCTACGGTGCAGTGTTGAGTCTACGGTGCAGTGTTGAGTCTACGGTGCAGTGTTGAGTCTACGGTGCAGTGTTGAGTCTACGGTGCAGTGTTGAGTCTACGGTGCAGTGTTGAGTCTACGGTGCAGTGTTGAGTCTACAGTGCAGTGTTGAGTCTACAGTGCAGTGTTGAGTCTACGGTGCAGTGTTGAGTCTACGGTGCAGTGTTGAGTCTACGGTGCGGTGTTGAGTCTACAGTGCAGTGTTGAGTCTACAGTGCAGTGTTGAGTCTACGGTGCAGTGTTGAGTCTACGGTGCAGTGTTGAGTCTACAGTGCAGTGTTGAGTCTATGGTGCAGTGTTGAGTCTACAGTGCAGTGTTGAGTCTACGGTGCAGTGTTGAGTCTACGGTGCAGTGTTGAGTCTATGGTGCATTGTTGAGTCTATGGGCCAGTGTTGAGTCTACGGTGCAGTGTTGAGTCTACGGTGCAGTGTTGAGTCTACGGTGCAGTGTTGAGTCTACGGTGCAGTGTTGAGTCTACGGTGCAGTGTTGAGTCTATGGTGCAGTGTTGAGTCTATGGGCAGTGTTGAGTCTACGGTGCAGTGTTGAGTCTACGGTGCAGTGCTGAGTCTACCTGTGATCTTCTTCTTGGTCCTCACCATCACTGCACGGTTCCACCCTGGAGTGGGGCCGCCCTCGCTACGCTTGAGGGACCTTCGCACGACACAAACACAAAGGACCCCCACCCCTCACTAAGTAACCTTGATTGAGGCTGTTGGGCCAAGTGTTGTACGCCGGTGGCACCGATTGAACGCCGGGAACCCTGAGCGGGAAATTGATCTCGGGTCTGTCCTGGCTTCGTAGCGCAGTGTGGTGCTAACCACTGCACCACCGCTCCCCACACACACAGTGCGATAACCACTGCACCACCATTCCACACTCACACACAGTGCGCTAACCATTGCACCGCCGCTCCCCATACACAGTGTGCTAACCACTGCACCACCGCTCCCCACTCACACACACACAGTGCGCTAACCACTGCACCGCCACTCCCCACACACACACACAGTGCGCTAACCACTGCACCACCGCTCCCCAAACACACACAGTGCGCTAACCACTGCACCACCGCTCCCCAAACACACAGTGTACTAACCACTGCACCGCCACTCCCCATACACACACACACAGTGCGCTAACCACTGCACCACCGCTCCCCACACACACACACACAGTGCGCTAACCACTGCACCGCCACTCCCCACATACACACACAGTGCGCTAACCACTGCACCACCGCTCCCCACACACACACACAGTGCGCTAACCACTGCACCGCCACTCCCCACATACACACACAGTGTGCTAACCACTGCACCACCGTTCCGCACACACACACAGTGCGCTAGCCATTGCACCACCACTCCACACACACACAGTGCGCTAACCACTGCACCACCGCTCCCCACACACACACACAGTGCGCTAACCACTGCACCACCACTCCCCACACACACACAGTGCGCTAACCACTGCACCACCACTCCACACTCACAGTGCGCTAACCACTGCACCACCACTCCACACACAGTGCGCTAGCCATTGCACCACCACTCCCCACACACTCACAGTGCGCTAACCACTGCACCACCACTCCACACTCAGTGCGCTAGCCATTGCACCACCACTCCCCACACACACACAGTGCGCTAACCACTGCACCACCACTCCACACTCACAGTGCGCTAGCCATTGCACCACCACTCCCCACACACACACAGTGCGCTAACCACTGCACCACCACTCCCTACTCACACACACAGTGCGCTAACCACTGCACCACCACTCCACACTCACAGTGCGCTAACCACTGCACCACCACTCCCTACTCACACACACAGTGCGCTAACCACTGCACCACCACTCCCCACACACAGTGCGCTAACCACTGCACCACCACTCCACACTCACAGTGCGCTGTTTTTGTGGTGATGATGATGATGTTTGTGATGGTGATGATGTTTGTGATGGTGATGATGGTATTTGTGATGATGATGATGTTTGTGATGGTGATGATGGTATTTGTGATGATGATGATGGTGGTGGTGACGATAATGATGGTGGTGGTGATGATGATGGTGGTGATGGTGGTGTTTGTGATGATGGTGATGGTGGTGATGATGGTGGTGACGATGATGATGGTGGGGATGGTGATGATGATGGTGATTATGGTGATGATGATGTTGATGGTGATGATGGTGATGATGTTTGTGATGATGGTGGTGATGATGGTGGTGATGGTGGTGTTGTTGATGATGATGGTGGTGATGATGGTGGTGATGGTGGAGGTGGTGGTGATGGTGGAGGTAGAGGTGATGGTGATGATGGTGGTGATGATGGTGGTGATGGTGGTGATGATGGTGATGATGATGGTGGTGATGATGATGGTGGTGATGATGATGGTGGTGATGATGGTGGTGGTGATGATGGTGGTGGTGATGGTGGTGGTGATGATGGTGATGATGATGATGATGGTGATGATGATGGTGGTGGTGATGATGGTGGTGGTGATGGTGGTGATGGTGATGATGGTGGTGATGGTGGTGATGGTGATGATGGTGGTGATGATGATGGTGATGATGATGATGATGGGGATGATGGTGGTGATGGTGTTTGTGATGATGGTGATGATGGTGGTGATGGTGATGATGGTGGTGATGATGATGGTGATGATGGTGGTGATGGTGATGATGGTGGTGATGATGATGGTGATGATGGTGGTGATGGTGATGATGGTGGTGATGATGATGGTGGTGGTGTTTGTGATGGTGATGATGGTGGTGATGATGGTGGTGAGGGTGGTGGTAGTGATGATGATGATGATGGTGATGATGATGATGGTGGTGGTGATGATGATGGTGGTGGTGTTTGTGATGGTGATGATGGTGGTGATGATGGTGGTGAGGGTGGTGGTAGTGATGATGATGATGATGGTGGTGATGATGGTGGTGATGGTGATGATGGTGGTGATGATGATGGTGTTTGTGATGATGGTGATAATGGTGGTGATGGTGGTGGTAGTGATGATGATGGTGGTGTTTGTGATGGTGATGATGGTGATGATGGAGGTAGAGGTGGAGGAAGAGAAGTCGGTGTTGACGAGGTTGATGACTTGTTGTTGTTGTTGACGTGTTGTTGTTGTTGTTGACGAGGTGGTGGTGGTGTAAGAAGAGTTGGTGTTGTTGTTGTTGACGAGGTGTTGTTGTTGACGAGGTGATGTTGTTGACGAGGTAGTGTTGTTGTTGTTGACGAGGTAGTGTTGTTGTTGACGTGTTGTTGTTGTTGTTGTTGACGAGGTGTAAGAGGCGTTGGGGCCTCACCTCTGGCGCCTCCTGCCCCTCGCCTGCCGCCTCGCGCCACCAGCTGCGACCTCTCGCCCCGTGACGTCACCCGACAATCTGGCGGTGACGTCATGTCTCAGTAGGGGGGGGTGTTACTATACGCGATGACGTCATCGCAGATCTGGTGATAACGTCATTCCTCAGGGGGGGTGTTAACACGCGTGGTGACGTCATCGCAGATTTGGTGGTGACGTCATTCCTCAGTAGGGGGTGTTAACACGCGTGGTGACGTCATCGCAGATCTGGTGTTGACGTCATTCCTCAGTAGGTGTGTTAACACGTGATGACGTCAAACCTCTGTGGGGTGTTCCCACGCGTGGTGACGTCATCGCAGATCTGGTGGTGACGTCATTCCTCAGTAGGTGTGTTAACACGTGATGACGTCAAACCTCTGTGGGGTGTTCCCACGCGTGGTGACGTCATCGCAGATCTGGTGGTGACGTCATTCCTCAGTAGGTGTGTTAACACGTGATGACGTCAAACCTCTGTGGGGTGTTCCCACGCGTGGTGACGTCATCGCAGATCTGGTGGTGACGTCATTCCTCAGTAGGGGGGGGTGTTAACACACGTGATGACGTCAAACCTCTGTGGGGTGTTCCCACGCGTGATGACGTCAACCGCCTATCTGGTGGTGACGTCATTCCTCAGTAGTGAGGTGTTAACACGCGTGATGACGTCATCGGAGGTCTGGTGGTGACGTCATTCCTCAGTAGGTGTGGTGTTAACATACGTGATGACGTCATCGCAGGTCTGGTGTTGACGTCATTCCTCAGTGGGGGGGGAGGGGGGTGTTACCACCAGTGATGATGTCACCGTCAGTCTGATGGTGACGTCTTCTTCAGTTGGTTGGATGTGGTGTTACCAACGGCGATGACGTCACCGCCAGTCTGGTGGTGACGTCATTTTTCAGCGGGTGGGGGGGGGGGGTCCCAACGTTGACGACGCCACCGCCAATCTGGTGGTGACGTCATTCCTCAGTGTGGCGGTGTTACCACGGGCGATGACGTCACCGCCACGCGTCATCCCATCTGTTCTCCAGCACGTGCCCGTTCACCCAATCACGTTAACCCCGACACAAGCAACGCTTCCCATTGGACACGGAGTGACCGTGACGTCACCACGGCGCATGTGCCAGGCTAGGTGCACTTTGAGGCTGCCTGCTGACAGGAGGAGGTCACGTGACAGACCCAGCAGGTGCCACGGGTCGACTGAGATGAGTGGTAGAGGCATTACCATCAGCTGTGACCCCCTGCTGTGCCAGGCTAGGTGCACGAGGTCATGTGACAGACCCAGCAGGTGCCACGGGTCGACTGAGATGAGTGGTAGAGGCATCACCATCAGCTGTGACCCCCTGCTGTGCCAGGCTAGGTGCACGAGGTCATGTGACAGACCCAGCAGGTGCCATGGGTTGACTGAGATGAGTGGTAGAGGCACCACCAGCAGCTGTGCCCCCTACTGTGCCAACTTGCTGTGCTTTAGCCACCCGGCACTCCGCTCGTTGTTGTGAGCGTCGCTCCTCCGCCCTCCGTTGTTGTTGGAGGGCGACTGCCTCCAACTGCCCAGTAGCGTCCTTCACGAGCCTCCTCCACTGAGGCCGATGTTGACACCGCTGGTACCAGTCATCGGCAAGTCCACTCAGCTCCACGTCCTCCTGTACCACATCACTCCATCTCTTCTCTAGCCCGTACCGCGCCCGTTTAGCCCCCTCGATCCGGCCAAACAGAAGCTGTTCGGGAATGTGGTGACTGGGCATGCGGGCTACATGACCCAGCCAACGCAGCCTTGCCGGCCGGAGGAACTCACCGATGGGACTTTGTCCAGATCTTTCGAGGATTTGTGAGCTCCTCACACAATCCAGCCTGGTTAAACCCAGGATGGATCGTAGGCAGGCCAGCCTAAATGTTTATAACCGGCGAAGATGCTCCATTAGGGGGGTCCACGTTTCACAAGCGTAGAGAAGGGAGGGAATGACCGTGGCCGAGAAGACCCGAAGCTTTGTGCGGAGCGACAGACCAGGTAGCTTCCACACAGCGTTACGCTTACCCCCTCGCCCATTCACCCACTCACTCACCCATTCACTCACCCACTCACCCATTCCCTCATTCCCCCACTCACTCACCCATTCACTCGCCCATTCACCAACTCACTCACCCATTCACCCACCCACCTATTCACCCATTCACTCACCCATTCACTCACCCACTCACCCATTCCCTCATTCCCCCACTCACTCACCCATTCACTCGCCCATTCACCAACTCACTCACCCATTCACCCACCCACCTATTCACCCATTCACTCACCCATTCACTCACCCACTCACCCATTCCCTCATTCCCCCACTCACTCACCCATTCACTCGCCCATTCACCAACTCACTCACCCATTCACCCACCCACCTATTCACCCATTCACTCACCCATTCACTCACCCACTCACCCATTCCCTCATTCCCCCACTCACTCACCCATTCACTCGCCCATTCACCAACTCACTCACCCATTCACCCACCCACCTATTCACCCACTCACTCACCCATTCACTCACCCACTCACCCATTCCCTCATTCCCCCACTCACTCACCCATTCACTCGCCCATTCACCAACTCACTCACCCATTCACCCACCCACCTATTCACCCATTCACTCACCCATTCACTCACCCACTCACCCATTCCCTCATTCCCCCACTCACTCACCCATTCACTCGCCCATTCACCAACTCACTCACCCATTCACCCACCCACCTATTCACCCACTCACTCACCCATTCACTCACCCACTCACCCATTCCCTCATTCCCCCACTCACTCACCCATTCACTCGCCCATTCACCCACTCACTCACTCATTCACCCACCCGCCCATTCACCCATTCACTCACCCATTCACTCACCCATTCACTCACCCATTTACCCACTCACTCGCTCAACCCACTCACCCCTGATTCATTCGCCCATTCACCCACTCACTCACCCATTCACTCACCCACTCACCCATTCCCTCATTCCCCCACTCACTCACCCATTCACTCGCCCATTCACTAACTCACTCACCCATTCACCCACCCACCTATTCACCCATTCACTCACCCATTCACTCACCCACTCACCCATTCCCTCATTCCCCCACTCACTCACCCATTCACTCGCCCATTCACCAACTCACTCACCCATTCACCCACCCACCTATTCACCCATTCACTCACCCATTCACTCACCCACTCACCCATTCCCTCATTCCCCCACTCACTCACCCATTCACTCGCCCATTCACTAACTCACTCACCCATTCACCCACTCACCTATTCACCCATTCACTCACCCATTCACTCACCCACTCACCCATTCCCTCATTCCCCCACTCACTCACCCATTCACTCGCCCATTCACTAACTCACTCACCCATTCACCCACCCACCTATTCACCCATTCACTCACCCATTCACTCACCCACTCACCCATTCCCTCATTCCCCCACTCACTCACCCATTCACTCGCCCATTCACCAACTCACTCACCCATTCACCCACCCACCTATTCACCCACTCACTCACCCATTCACTCACCCACTCACCCATTCCCTCATTCCCCCACTCACTCACCCATTCACTCGCCCATTCACTAACTCACTCACCCATTCACCCACCCACCTATTCACCCATTCACTCACCCACTCACTCACTCAAAACACTCACCCATGACTCATTCGCCCACTCACCCACTTCACTCACCCATTCACCCACCCGCTCACCCATTTACTCACTCATTCACACACTCACCCATTCCCTCAAAAATGTTATAAATTGATTTGCATTTTAATGAGGGAAATAAGTATTTGACCCCCTCTCAATCAGAAAGATTCTGGCTCCCAGGTGTTTTTTTTATACAGGTAACAAGCTGAGATTAGGAGCACACTCTTAAAGGGAGTGCTCCTAAGCTCAGCTTGTTACCTGTATAAAAGACACCTGTTCACAGAAGCAATCAATCAGATTGCGGTTAAATTTCGATTGAAAGCTTTCGTGACTGCAGGGATTCATCTTCTTGGTTCTTTCGGTAAAGTCACGTAGAAGGGAAGTAATAAAATAACGAAAGCTTTAAATAAAAAATTTAACCGCCTCTACGGGGAGGAATTCCACGTAACTTTGAGATCCTTCAACAAGCTCCGTGATAAGAAGGCTCAGCTAATCGAGTATCTCACCTTTTTGAAGAGATGCCGCGACTCTAAGCTTATATACATGCTCCAAGCACGTGTGCTGTTTCATTCAGACGCTGTCGCCTCGACAGACCTGTTCTTCACCTGAGGACGGCTGCTTGCGTTGTGGCCGAAACGTCGTGAGAATTATTTTATTATGTTTTATTTTTATTATTTTATTACTTCCCTATTACGTGACTTTACCGAAAGAACCAAGAAGACGTTGGAATTACCTTATGCCAGAAAAAGTGTGTTGACCAGTGTTATAAGAATTAGTAGATTAGAATAAGAATTGGAAGCAGAAGGAATAGGAGAAAAACAATTAGAATAAGTGTAATGTGAGGTTATATCCGGGTCGTTGATGGATTACAACTCGTCAGGACGATTGGTTCTGCCGGTCCTGGTTCATAGCCAATGGGGGAAGCCTAGGGGCGTGGCCCTGATGTAATAGAAAGATGACAGCTGGTTGTAGAGGATTGGTTCTGCTGGCTTTAGCCACAGCCAATGGGGAGACGAGTCAGGGGCGTGGTCCCGGGAGCCTCTGGAATATTCCATAGAGGCTAACCAGGATTGGTGGAAACGTACCACGTGACCCGGGTATTAAATAGGGGTGGAGACGAACGACACGTGGGTCAGAACGGGAACGAACGGAGGAAGGGGGCCACGCGGGAGCGGGGCTCCGGGTTGCCACGTGGCAGTGCGTCTCTCTCTGTATCTGTCTCTCTCACGCTGCCTGTCAACAGCGTGAAGGAAAAGCTGTAATACAAGTTGAATAAAAGACGGATTCCAGACGTCGTCTCAACGAGCTTTATTACAAATGCATGCGGCCAAACCGTACGACGTATACAGCGACGCAACGCCCCGATTCCACAAGGCACACAGAGGAGACATCGCCGCGATGCACTCCGCTACTCCGCTGCTCCCACCAGAAGAATAAGAATTATAAGAAGAATTAGTAGAAGAAGAATTAGAATAAGAAGAAGAATTGGAATAAGAATTAGAATAAGAATTGGAAGCAGAAGGAATAGGAGAAGAACAATTAGAATAAGTAAGCTCCAAATCAAGTAAGAAGAATTAGAAGAAGAATTAGAAGAATTGGTAGAAGAATTAGTCGTAGAAGAATTCACAGTAGTAGGATTTGAAGAAGGAATAGGAGGAGAACAATTAGAATAAGTCAGCTCCAAATCAAGTAAGAAGAATTAATAGAAGAATCAGTAGGAAAAGAAGGAGGATTAGAAAAAGATGAATTAGACGAAAGATGAGGAGGTGCTGCAAAACGAATCGGCATTCGCGAGACAACTTGCAAAACACTTCGCGTCCGAAGCGTTTCACGCCACCACTGCGCTCAACCCGAACGGAAGCTCCCGGGGCATCGCGTTTCTACAGCTGCCGGCAGAGGTCGCAACCGGGTACCCGATACCCGTACCCTACCCGATACCCGGCTACCCGTACCCGGCCGGGTACAGGTACGGGTAGCCGTTTGCGACCCTGGTGTGGACGGGTACGGGTAGACCGTGAGTCACTGGTGAGTCACCGTTTGTCACTCATTTCCCAACGTCTTGTCTCTTCTCACAATTCAAGTTCCTAGAATCAACCCACCCGTGCCTGCAACATGGCTTCATCCCAGAGGTCGCAATCAGGTACCCGATACCCGTACCCGGGTACGGGTAGGGTACGGGTACGGCTGGGTACGGGTACCCGTTTGCGACCCTGGTGCAGCCGGGTACGGGTAGACCGTGAGTCACTGGTGAGTAACCGTTTGTCACTCATTTCGGGTAGGGTACGGGTAGGGAACTGGCACCCGTACCCGGCCGGGTACGGGTACTCATTTGTGACCCTGGTGCGGCCGGGTACGGGTACGGGTAGGCCGTGAGTCACCGGTGAGTAACCGTTTGTCACTCATTTCGGGGAGGGTACGGGTTCCCGTTTGCGACCCTGGTGCGGCCGGGTACGGGGGGTAAGCAATCAAAACCCGTTTGCGACCTCTGCCTGCCGGTGAGTCCTGGAGTGGCTCTTCAGATAGTCGCTCCGCGCGAACCCCTTCCCGCACTCGGGGCAAACGTGCGGCCGCTCTCCCGAGTGAGCCCTCGCGTGCTTCTTCAGATCCGAGCTGCGAGCGAACCCCTTGCCGCACTCGCCGCAAGCGTGCGGACGCTCTCCTGCGTGCCCCCTGGCGTGCGCCTCCAGGCCCGAGCGTCGGGCGAAGCCCTTCCCGCACTCGGGGCAAACGTGCGGCCTCTCGGCGGCGTGCGTCCCGGCGCGGTGCTTCCTCAGGTAGGACGGCCGCGCGAACAGCTTCCCGCACTCGCCGCACGCGTGACGCCTCTCAGCGGCGTGGGTCCCGGCGTGCGCCTCAAGCGCGTATCGCCGCGCGAACGCCTTCCCGCAAAGCGCGCAAGCGTGCGGGCGCTCCCCCGAGTGAGTGAGCCCGTGCTTGCGAAGAACGGAGCGCTTCGAGAACCCCTTCCCGCACTCGCCGCAGACGTGCGGCCTCTCTCCGGCGTGGGCCGACGCCACGTGAGCCCGCAGGTCCGAGAGCTCCCCGAAGCGCTTGCCGCACTGCTCGCAGGCGTGAGGCCTCACCCCGGCGTGGGCCCGCGCGTGCCTGGCCAGGGCGAAGCGCTGGGCGAAGGCCCGGCCGCACTCGGGGCAGACGTGGGGCCGCTCGCCCGTGTGGACGCGAGCGTGGGCCTCCAGGTTGTAGCGCTGCGAGAACGCGCGGCCGCAGTCGGGGCAGGCGTGGGGCCTCTCCCCCGTGTGCGTGGCCGCGTGCTTGCGCAGGAGGCAGCGGTACGAGAAGTGCTTGCCGCACTCCGCGCACGAAACCCTCCGCTTCGGTTTATTCCTCGCCGAAGCGCCGGCGGTGGCGGTGGTGTTGTCGTTCTTCTCCTCCTGACGCTCTCCCGCAGCGTCGGCGGCACGTGCCGGCTCCGTGCCGACTGGCGATGGTGCGCGTCGCTCCTGCGCGCCGGGTGTCCTTCTCCCCTTCTGCTGCTGCTGCTTCTGCTTCTGCTGCTTCTGCTGCTGCTGCTTCTGCTTCTGCTGCTGCTGCTTCTGCTGCTGCTGCTTCTGCTGCTGTTTCTGCTGCTGCTGCTTCTTAGCCTGCGGCTGCTGCTGTTGCCGTTGGCCGGCGCTGTGATCGCGGTCGCCTGGCGGAGCCGTGCCATACTCCGCACAGGCTCTCGGTGTCGTGACGCCGCCGCTGCCAGCGCCGCACTCCGCACACGGAGGCCGCTCCGTAGGGCCGGCTTGGTCTGCCGCGAGTTTTTTGAAAGAGAAGAAACACAGGGGGGCGTCTCGGTGTGAGAGGCAAGTCGAGTTTGTTATGCTGGCACCTGGTCTGGAGTGATTGGAAGGCATGGGCCAGATCGGCTCAATAACAACGGTAGGAGGCTGCTAGACTTCTGTGCTGCCCATGGGCTTGTAATTACCAACACGCTGTTCTGAGATCGGCGCAATCACACATCATGGATGCACACCCGGTCCAAGCAAGAACATCTACTGGACTACATAGTGACAGAACAGCGGATGCGAGCCCATGTCCTTGACACCAGGACCTACCGTGGAGCTGATCTGCCCTCTGACCATCGACTTGTCATCTGTAATATGCACCTGTTTCTGTGTGTCTGTCTCTGTGTGTCTATCTCTGTGTGTCTGTCTCTGTGTGTCTGTCTCTGTGTGTGTCCCTGTGTCTCTGTGTGTCTGTCTCTGTGTGTCTGTCTCTGTGTGTCTGTCTCTGTGTCTCTGTCTCTGTGTCTCTGTCTCTGTGTCTCTGTCTCTGTGTCTCTGTCTCTGTGTGTCTGTCTCTGTGTGTGTCCCTGTGTCTCTGTGTGTCTGTCTCTGTGTGTCTGTCTCTGTGTGTCTATCTCTGTGTGTCTGTCTCTGTGTCTCTGTGTCTCTGTCTCTGTGTGTCTGTCTCTGTGTGTCTGTCTCTGTGTGTCTGTCTCTGTGTGTCTGTCTCTGTGTCTCTGTCTCTGTGTGATGATTGCTTGTTTTGCAATCGAATTATTTAATTTATGTTCTTTCTACGTGATGACTTTACCGAAAGAACCAAAGAGTAATTCCTGCAGTCACGAAAGCTACAAATCAAGTTGAAAGATTTTAGATTTAACTAGATTTAAACAGGTCTCTGCGGGGTGGGCTGGTAGGAACGAATAACCAAAGAATATAAACATAATGTATTATGACACTTGTTTAGCCAGGAAAGCCTCATTGAGTGTAAAGGTTTTTGTAGGGTCCTGCCAAGTGTTTGCAGTAGGGGGCGATGTTGCTACACCTAATCGGACGATAGGAAGGGAGAGTTTGAGGCCTAGTGCTAGGCTTTAGGCCTAGCTGTAGGCTTTAGGCCGCTGTGAGTTAATTTTTAATTTAAATGTTTTAATTAAAAACTATCTCAGGGAATTAGAAGGGAATGTTACACTTGTTTAGCCAGGAAAGCGTCGCTGAGTCTAAAGGTTTTTGTAGGGTCCTGCCAAGTGTTTGCAGTAGGGGGCGATGTTGCTACACCTAATCGGACATCGGACGGACGGACGATATAATCTATTGTAGGCTGGTTCACTTCGTTCCTACCAGTATTAGACCTCTATTATGTGACTCTCACCTTCGCCAACATCCTCATCATCCTCCTCCTCCGACAGCTCAACCTCGATGAAGTTGCGATCTGGAGAGAGCGGCGGTCCATCACGGGACTCTCCGCTCTCCTCTGGCATCTCGACTTTGATCAAATTCACGTCCGGAGCTGCGGGTCAAGGGGGAGGGAGGGGAGGGGTCTCTGTGTGATTCTATAGGTCTGTGTGAGTCTATGGGTCTCTGTGTGAGTAGTCTGTGGGTCTCTGTGTGAGTAGTCTGTGGGTGTCTGTGTGAGTCAGTGGGTCTCTGTGTGATGAGTCTATGGGTCTCTGTGTGAGTCTGTGGGTCTCTGTGTGAGTCCATGGGTCTCTCTGTGTGGGTCTCTGTGTGAGTCTGTGGGTCTCTGTGTGAGTCTGTGGGTCTCTGTGTGAGTCTATGGGTCTCTGTGTGAGGTCTATGGGTCTCTGTGTGAGTCTGTGGGTCTCTGTGTGAGTCTATGGGTCTCTGTGTGAGTCTGTGGGTCTCTGTGCGAGTCTATGGGTCTCTGTGTGTGTTTATGCGTCTCTGTGTGAGTCTATGGGTCTCTATGTGAGTCTGTGGGTCTCTGTGTGAGTCTGTGGGTCTCTGTGTGAGTCTGTGGGTCTCTGTGTGAGTCTGTGGGTCTCTGTGTGAGTATGTGGGTCTCTGTGTGAGTCTATGGGTCTCTGCGTGAGTCTGTGGGTCTCTGTGTGAGTCTGTGGGTCTCTGTGTGGTGAGTCTATGGGTCTCTGTGAGGTGAGTCTGTGGGTCTCTGTGTGAATCTGTGGGTCTCTGCGTGAGTCTGTGGGTCTCTGTGTGAGTCTGTGGGTCTCTGTGTGGTGAGTCTGTGGGTCTCTGTGTGAGTCTGTGAGTCTCTGTGTGAGTCTGTGGGTCTCTGTGTGGTGAGTCTGTGGGTCTCTGTGTGAGTCTGTGGGTCTCTGTGTGAGTCTGTGGGTCTCTGTGTGGTGAGTCTATGGGCCTCTGTGTGGTGAGTCTATAGGTCTCTGTGTGGTGAGTCTGTGGGTCTCTGTGTGAGTCTGTGGGTCTCTGTGTGAGTCTGTGGGTCTCTGTGTGATGAGTCTATGGGTCTCTGTGTGGTGAGTCCGTTAGGTCTCTGGTGTGGTGAGTCCTGTGGGTCTCTGCGTGAGTCTGTGGGTCTCTGTGTGAGTCTATGGGTCTCTGTGCGAGTCTGTGGGTCTCTGTGTGAGTCTGTGGGTCTCTGTGTGATGAGTCTATGGGTCTCTGTGTGGTGAGTCTGTGGGTCTCTGTGTGGTGAGTCTGTGGGTCTCTGTGTGAGTCTGTGGGTCTCTGTGTGAGTCTGTGTGTCTCTGTGTGAGTCTGTGTGTCTCTGTGTGAGTCTATGGGTCTCTTTGTGAGTCTATGGGTCTCTGTGTGAGTCTGTGAGTCTCTGTGTGAGTCTATGGGTCTCTGTGTGAGTCTGTGGGTCTCTGTGTGAGTCTATGGGTCTCTGTGTGAGTCTGTGGGTCTCTGTGTGAGTCTATGGGTCTCTGTGTGAGTCTGTGGGTCTCTGTGTGAGTCTGTGGGTCTCTGTGTGAGTCTGTGGGTCTCTGTGTGAGTTTGTGGGTCTCTGTGTGAGTCTATGGGTCTCTGTGTGAGTTTGTGGGTCTCCGTGCGAGTCTGTGGGTCTCTCTGTGCGAGTCTGTGGGTCTCTGTGCGAGTCTATGGGTCTCTGTGTGTGTGTTATGGGTCTCTGTGTGAGTCTATTGGTCTCTGTGTGAGTCTGTGGGTCTCTGTGTGAGTCTATGGGTCTCTGTGTGAGTCTGTGGGTCTCTGTGTGAGTCTATGGGTCTCTGTGTGAGTCTGTGGGTCTCTGTGTGAGTCTGTGGGTCTTTGTGTGAGTAGTCTGTGGGTCTCTGTGTGAGTAGTCTGTGGGTCTCTGTGTGAGTCTGTGGGTCTCTGTGTGAGTCTGTGGGTCTCTGTGCGAGTCTATGGGTCTCTATGCGAGTCTGTGGATACTCTCTGTGTGAGTCTGTGGGTCTCTGTGTGAGTCTGTGGGTCTCTGTGTGAGTCTATGGGTCTCTGTGTGAGTAGTCTGTGGGTCTCTGTGTGAGTAGTCTGTGGGTCTCTGTGTGAGTCTGTGGGTCTCTGTGTGAGTCTGTGGGTCTCTGTGCGAGTCTATGGGTCTCGGTGTGTGTTTATGGGTCTCTGTGTGAGTCTATGGGTCTCTATGCGAGTCTGTGTGTCTCTGTGTGAGTCTATGGGTCTCTGTGTGAGTCTGTGGTCTCTGTGTGAGTCTATGGGTCTCTTGTGAGTCTATGGGTCTCTGTGTGAGTCTGTGGTCTCTGTGTGAGTCTGTGGGTCTCTGTGTGAGTCTGTGGGTCTCTGTGTTGAGTCTATGGGTCTCTGTGTGAGTCTGTGGGTCTCTGTGTGAGTCTGTGGTCTCTGTGTGATCTATGGTCTCGTGTGAGTCTGGGTCTCTGTGTGAGTCTATGGGTCTCTGTGTGAGTCTGTGGTCTCTGTGTGAGTCTGTGGGCCTCTGTGTGAGTCTATGGGTCTCTGTGTGAGTCTATGGGTCTCTGTGTGAGTCTGTGGGTCTCTGTGTGAGCTGTGGGTCTCTGTGAGTCTATGGTCTCTGTGTGTGTTTATGTCTCTGTGTGAGTCTATGGGTCTCTGTGTGAGTCTGTGGGTCTCTGTGTGAGTCTGGGTCTCTGTGTGAGTCTGTGGTCTCTGTGTGAGTCTGTGGGTCTCTGTGTGAGTCTGTGGGTCTCTGTGTGAGTCTATGGGTCTCTGTGTGAGTCTGTGGGTCTCTGTGTGAGTCTGTGGGTCTCTGTGTGAGTCTGTGGGTCTCTGTGTGAGTCTGTGGGTCTCTGTGTGAGTCTGTGGGTCTCTGTGTGAGTCGTGGGTCTCTGTGTGAGTCTATGGTCTCTGTGGAGTCTGTGGGTCTCTGTGTGAGTCTGTGGGTCTCTGTGTGTCTGTGGGTCTCTCTGTGAGTCTATGGGTCTCTGTGTGAGTCTGTGGTCTCTGTGTGAGTCTGTGGTCTCTGTGTGAGTCTATGGGTCTCTACGTGAGTCTATGGGTCTCTGTGTGAGTCTATGTCTCTGTGTGAGTCTGTGGGTCTCTGTGTGAGTCTGTGGGTCTCTGTGTGAGTCTATGGGTCTCTGTGTGAGTCTGTGGGTCTCTGTGTGAGTCTGTGGTCTCTGTGTGAGTCTATGAGTCTCGTGTGAGTCTATGGGTCTCTGTGTGAGTCTATGGGTCTGTGTGAGTCTGTGGGTCTCTGTGTGAGTCTGTGGGTCTCTGTGTGAGTCTGTGGGTCTCTGTGTGAGTCTATGGGTCCTCTGTGTGAGTCTATGGGTCTCTGTGTGAGCCTGTGGGTCTCTGTGTGAGTCTATGGGTCTCTGTGTGAGTCTGTGGGTCCTTTGTGTGAGTCTGTGGGTCTCTGTGTGAGTCTGTGGGTCTCTGTGTGAGTCTGTGGGTCTCTGTGTGAGTCTGTGGGTCTCTGTGTGAGTCTGTGGGTCTCTGTGTGAGTCGTGGGTCTCTGTGTGAGTCTATGGGTCCTGCTGTGTGAGTCTGTGGGTCTCTGTGTGAGTCTGTGTGTCTCTGTGTGGTGAGTCTGTGGGTCTCTGTGTGAGCTGTGGGTCTCTGTGTGAGTCTGTGGGTCTCTGTGTGAGTCTGTGGGTCTCTGTGTGAGTCTATGGGTCTCTGTGTGATGAGTCTGTGGGTCTCTGTGTGTGAGTCTGTGGGTCTCTATGTGAGTCTGTGGGTCTCTATGTGAGTCTGTGGGTCTCTATGTGAGTCTGTGGGTCTCTGTGTGAGTCTGTGGGTCTCTGTGTGAGTCTATGGGTCTCTGTGTGATGAGTCTGTGGGTCTCTGTGTGTGAGTCTGTGGTCTCTATGTGAGTCTGTGGGTCTCTGTGTGAGTCTGTGGGTCTCTGTGTGAGTCTATGGGTCTCTGTGTGATGAGTCTGTGGGTCTCTGTGTGTGAGTCTGTGGGTCTCTATGTGAGTCTGTGGGTCTCTGTGTGAGTCTGTGGGTCTCTGTGTGAGTCTGTGGGATCTCACCCGAGTCTCCCTCCTGCCGTTCGGCCTTCACCTTCAGCGGCCGCGACGTCTCCCGGCCGGGACCCACGCTGACGTCTCCTTGGCAACGACAGCGACACGCAGACGCCGCAACTCAGATGCAACTCATACACAGCAAATCAGACGCAACTCAGACACAGCAACTCAGACGCAACTCAGATGCAACTCAGACGCAACTCAGACATGGCAACTCAGACGCAACTCAGACACGGCAACTCAGACGCAACTCAGACACGGCAACTCAGACGCAACTCAGACACAGCAATTCAGACGCAACTCAGATGCAACTCAGACGCAACTCAGACACAGCAACTCAGACGTGGCAACTCAGACGCAGCAACTCAGATGCAATTCCACCAAACTTTACCCCACCACCACTACCAAGAGGAGGGAGTCACCCACATTTTACCCCAACAACAACAACCGCCAATCGCCACTAAGTGGCGGTGACCTCACCACGACGCTTGTGCCAGGCCATGTGCACCTTGAGGCCACGTGAAGTGTCGAATACCCGCTGGCAGGAGGTCACGGGGCAGACCCAGCAGGTGCCACGGGTCGACTGACTGAGATGACCGAGATGACTGGCTGATGCACCACCTGTGCCCCCTACTGTGCTAACTTGCTGTGCTTTAGCCACCCGCCGCTCCACTCGTTGTTGTGAGCTTCGCTCCTCCGCCCTCCGTTGTTGTTGGAGGGCGACTGCCTCCAACTGCCCAGTGGCGTCCTTCACGAGCCTCCTCCACAGAGGCCGATCTTGACACCGCTGGTACCGGTCATCGGCAAGTCCACTCAGCTCCACGTCCTCCTGTACAACATCACTCCATCTCCTCTCTGGCCCGTGCCACGCCCGTTTATCCCCCTCGATCCGGCCAAAATAAAAGCTGTTTAGGCATGCGGTGACTGGGCATACGGGCCACATGACCCAGCCAACACAGCCTTGCCTGCAGGAGGAGCTCACCAATGGGACTTTGCCCAGATCTTACGAGGATATGTGAGCTCCTCAGACAATCCAGCCTGGTCAAACCCAGGATGGATCGTAGGCAGGCCAGCCTAAATGTTTCGAACCGGCGAAGATGTTCCATGTTGGGGGGGTCCACGTTTCGCAAGCGTAGAGAAGGGAGGGAATGACTGTGGCCCAGAAGACCTGAGGCTTCGTGTGGAGCAACAGGCCAGGTAGCTTCCACACAGCGTTACACAACCGATGAAAAGATAATGCCGCTTGACTGAATTGGAGTGTGATCTCTGCTGTCAAACCGGAGCCGGTCATGGGCACACTACCCAGGTATGGGAAACGCTCCACTCTCTCCACAACTGCCCCATCACCAATTGGGAGTTGTGGGGGTGGAGTGTCCGATGGTACAAAATACCCAGGCAGGTGCTTAGTTTTGGTGGGGCTGATGGTAAGGCCCCACCTCTTAGTGGCAAGCTCCAGGTTCAGCAGCAGCGTCTCCAACTCCTCCTCTGAGTGAGCAGCAATTACCAAATCATCGGCATACGTAACATTGTTGACCAATAGGGAGCCATCCCTTGACCGCACCCAGGCATCGATCAGCCTTCCATTGTATCTGTACCAGATGGAAATTCCTCCGGTACAGCTACTGAAGGCTTCACGAACTACATGGTTGAAATAGATGTTAAATAATGTGGGAGCCAGAGGACACCCCTGTCGCACCCCAAAATGAACAGGGAATGACTCTGACTCCCGGCCACGTAGTTTTACTCGGGCCCGCTTACCATCATGATCGTGAGCAGAGGGTCAGGGACTCCGAAAGCACAAAGAATAACCAAGAGCCCAGGCCTACTGATGGTATCATAGGCCTTGACCAGGTCAATAAAGCAGAGATGTAGGTCTTGTTGGAATTCCCTACACCTCTGCTGTAACAGACAGAGAGAAAATATGGCATCTGTGCATGACCGCCCTTTCCTGAAACCACATTGGGGCTCCGCAAGCCTCTCCTCAGCATGCCTAGCAAGGCGATGTTGAATAATCCTTGCCAGGACCTTTCCCGGCACACTGGGGAGTGAGATGCCCCTGTAGTTATTACAGTCTGTGCAGTCTTCCTTCTTAAAGATGGGGACCACCAGGGCATCCTTAAATCCTGCAGAACCTGTCCAGTGGCCCAGGCTGTTGGTATGATGTCATGTAGGGCAGTCTGTGCACAAACGCCACCCTCCCTCAACATTTCGCTTGGGAGATCATCTCTGCCCGGTGCCTTTCCTGGTCTCAGACTCTGGATCGCCTTTAGCACTTCCTCAACAGATGGCACCTTAGCCAGCCACTCACAGGGGGTGACTACTTCTTTCAATATTTGAGGCACCGCAGCCTCAGCAGGGTCATCCCCACTTTGTCCCACGATGTTTTCCAGGCTGAGGGATTTCCCCTCCCCCGGGACCTCACAGAAATGCTCAGCAAATCTGCAAACCTGTTCCTGGGGGTCGGAGATTGGATCACCGTTCTTTCCCCTAATGATGGTAATAGGTGTGGCGCTGCAGGTTACTTTTTTGATAAAATTAGAGAGCGATTTGTGATCGCAGGCCATTAAGGCAGACTCCATCTCCTCAGCAACCCGCGACCACCACCCATCCTTGCAGCACCTCACGGCTTTCTGAACCTCCGAGCGAAGTCTGCGGTAATCCTCCTCAATCTTTGACGTGGGATGCTGTAGGACAATTAGAGTGGGCCTATCGCTTTTTCTCAGCCAGCCTGAACACCTCTTCTGTCAGCCAGGGTCTCTGGGGAGGTCTGGACCGTGTACCCAAAGCAGCCATTGCAGCTGCATGAGTCACAGTCCTGAACCTCGCCCATTTCCCATCGACATCAGGAGGAGTGGGGGACGATACCAACCTCAGCCGCAAGCGATGATCAAATTCTCGAAACTTTCATCAGCTAGCTGAGACCAGGCCACCTTAGGTTGGAATGGGGTCCTGGGTGTACACCCACCACCGGAGTGGAAGAATGGCATCTTACAGATGACTAGTCGATGGTCAGTGGGCAGATCAGCTCCACGGTAGGTCCTGGTGTCAAGGACATGGGCTCACATCCGCCACTCCCTGTTGTTTGGCAAATTACCCCACCACCACCACCAAGAGGAGGGAGTCACCCACACTTTACCCTGTGGGTCTCTGTGTGAGTCTATGGGTCTCTGTGTGAGGCTATGGGTCTCTGTGTGAGTCTGTGGGTCTCTGTGTGAGTCTATGAGTCTCTGTGTGAGTCTATGGGTCTCTGTGTGAGTCTGTGGGTCTCTGTGTGAGTCTGTGGGTCTCTGTGTGAGTCTATGAGTCTCTGTGTGAGTCTATGGGTCTCTGTGTGAGTCTGTGGGTCTCTGTGTGGTGAGTCTGTGGGTCTCTGTGTGAGTCTATGGGTCTCTGTGTGAGGCTATGGGTCTCTGTGTGAGTCTGTGGGTCTCTGTGTGAGTCTATGAGTCTCTGTGTGAGTCTATGGGTCTCTCTGTGAGTCTGTGGGTCTCTGTGTGGTGAGTCTGTGGGTCTCTGTGTGAGTCTATGGGTCTCTGTGTGAGTCTGTGTGTCTCTGTGTGAGTCTATGGGTCTCTGTGAGAGTCTGTGGGTCTCTGTGTGAGTCTGTGGGTCTCTGTGTGAGTCTGTGGGTCTCTGTGCGAGTCTGTGGGTCTCTGTGTGAGTCTATGGGTCTTTGTGTGAGTCTATGAGTCTCTGTGTGAGTCTATGGGTCTCTGTGTGAGTCTGTGGGTCTCTGTGTGAGTCTGTGGGTCTCTGTGTGAGTCTGTGGGTCTCTGTGTGAGTCTGTGGGTCTCTGTGTGAGTCTGTGGGTCTCTGTGTGGGTCTCTGTGTGAGTCTGTGGGTCTCTGTGTGAGTCTGTGGGTCTCTGTGTGAGTCTATGAGTCTCTATGTGAGTCTATGAGTCTCTGTGTGAGTCTGTGGGTCTCTGTGTGAGTCTGTGGGTCTCTGTGTGAGTCTGTGGGTCTCTGTGTGAGTCTGTGGGTCTCTGTGCGAGTCTGTGGGTCTCTGTGTGAGTCTATGGGTCTCTGTGTGAGTCTATGAGTCTCTGTGTGAGTCTATGGGTCTCTGTGTGAGTCTGTGGGTCTCTGTGTGAGTCTGTGGGTCTCTGTGTGAGTCTGTGGGTCTCTGTGTGAGTCTGTGGGTCTCTGTGTGAGTCTGTGGGTCTCTGTGTGGGTCTCTGTGTGAGTCTGTGGGTCTCTGTGTGAGTCTGTGGGTCTCTGTGTGAGTCTATGAGTCTCTATGTGAGTCTATGAGTCTCTGTGTGAGTCTGTGGGTCTCTGTGTGAGTCTGTGGGTCTCTGTGTGAGTCTGTGGGTCTCTGTGTGAGTCTGTGGGTCTCTGTGTGAGTCTGTGGGTCTCTGTGTGAGTCTGTGGGTTTCTCTGTGAGTCTGTGGGTCTCTGTGTGAGTCTGTGGGTCTCTGTGTGAGTCTGTGGGTCTCTGTGTGAGTCTGTGGGTCTCTGTGTGAGTCTGTGGGTTTCTCTGTGAGTCTGTGGGTCTCTATGTGAGTCTGTGGGTCTCTGTGTGAGTCTGTGGGTCTCTGTGTGAGTCTGTGGGTCTCTGTGTGAGTCTGTGGGTCTCTGTGTGAGTCTGTGGGTCTCTGTGTGAGTCTATGGGTCTCTGTGTGGTGAGTCTGTGGGTCTCTGTGTGAGTCTATGGGTCTCTGTGTGAGTCTGTGGGTCTCTGTGTGAGTCTGTGGGTCTCTGTGTGAGTCTGTGGGTCTCTGTGTGAGTCTGTGTGTCTCTGTGTGAGTCTGTGGGTCTTCTGTGTGAGTCTGTGGGTCTCTGTGTGAGTCTGTGTGTCTCTGTGTGAGTTCGATGTGTCTCTGTGTGAGTCTGTGGGTCTCTGTGTGAGTCGATGTGTCTCTGTGTGAGTCTGTGGGTCTCTGTGTGAGTCTATGGGTCTCTGTGTGAGTCTGTGGGTCTCTGTGTGAGTCTGTGGGTCTCTGTGTGAGTCTGTGGGTCTCTGTGTGAGTCTGTGTGTCTCTGTGTGAGTCTGTGGGTCTCTGTGTGAGTCTGTGGGTCTCTGTGTGAGTCTGTGTGTCTCTGTGTGAGTCGATGTGTCTCTGTGTGAGTCTGTGGGTCTCTGTGTGAGTCGATGTGTCTCTGTGTGAGTCTGTGGGTCTCTGTGTGAGTCTGTGGGTCTCTGTGTGAGTCTGTGTGTCTCTGTGTGAGTCTGTGGGTCTCTGTGTGAGTCTGTGGGTCTCTGTGTGAGTCTGTGTGTCTCTGTGTGAGTCGATGTGTCTCTGTGTGAGTCTGTGGGTCTCTGTGTGAGTCGATGTGTCTCTGTGTGAGTCTGTGGGTCTCTGTGTGAGTCTATGGGTCTCTGTGTGAGTCTGTGGGTCTCTGTGTGAGTCTGTGGGTCTCTGTGTGAGTCTGTGGGTCTCTGTGTGAGTCTGTGGGTCTCTGTGTGAGTCTATGTGTCTCTGTGTGAGTCTGTGTGTCTCTGTGTGAGTCTGTGGGTCTCTGTGTGAGTCTGTGGGTCTCTGTGTGAGTCTGTGGGTCTCTATGCGAGTCTATGGGTCTCTGTGTGAGTCTATGTGTCTCTGTGTGAGTCTATGTGTCTCTGTGTGAGTCTATGTGTCTCTGTGTGAGTCTATGTGTCTCTGTGTGAGTCTGTGTGTCTCTGTGTGAGTCTGTGGGTCTCTGTGCGAGTCTGTGGGTCTCTGTGTGAGTCTATGGGTCTCTGTGTGAGTCTATGAGTCTCTGTGTGAGTCTATGGGTCTCTGTGTGAGTCTGTGGGTCTCTGTGTGAGTCTGTGGGTCTCTGTGTGAGTCTGTGGGTCTCTGTGTGAGTCTGTGGGTCTCTGTGTGGGTCTCTGTGTGAGTCTGTGGGTCTCTGTGTGAGTCTGTGGGTCTCTGTGTGAGTCTATGAGTCTCTATGTGAGTCTATGAGTCTCTGTGTGAGTCTGTGGGTCTCTGTGTGAGTCTGTGGGTCTCTGTGTGAGTCTGTGTGTCTCTGTGTGAGTCTGTGGGTCTCTGTGTGAGTCTGTGTGTCTCTGTGTGAGTCGATGTGTCTCTGTGTGAGTCTGTGTGTCTCTGTGTGAGTCTGTGCGTCTCTGTGTGAGTCGATGTGTCTCTGTGTGAGTCTGTGTGTCTCTGTGTGAGTCTGTGTGTCTCTGTGTGAGTCTGTGTGTCTCTGTGTGAGTCTGTGTGTCTCTGTGTGAGTCTGTGTGTCTCTGTGTGAGTCTATGGGTCTCTGTGTGAGTCTGTGTGTCTCTGTGTGAGTCTGTGGGTCTCTGTGTGAGTCTGTGTGTCTCTGTGTGAGTCTGTGTGTCTCACGTTCTGCTTCAATCTTCACCACGTGTGCCTCTTCCTTCATGTCTCCGGCTGGACTCGCACAAAGACAAAGGTCCCCTGTGTAGCCTTGACCAGACTCTGGGGGCAAGTGCACTCTGAATACACACGCGGAGACACAGAGACTCACACAGAGACACACAGAGAGACACAGAGACACACACAGAGACTCACACAGAGACACACACAGAGACACCCAGAGAGACACACAGAGACACACACACAGAGAGACACAGAGACACACACAGAGACTCACACAGAGACACACACAGAGACACCCAGAGAGACACACAGAGACACACACACAGAGAGACACAGAGACACACACAGAGACTCACACAGAGACACACACAGAGACACCCAGAGAGACACACAGAGACACACACAGAGACACCCAGAGAGACACACACAGAGATACACACACAGAGACACACAGAGAGACACAGAGACACACACAGAGACTCACACAGAGACACACACAGAAGACACCCAGAGAGACACACAGAGACACACACACAGAGAGACACAGAGACACACACAGAGACTCACACAGAGACACACACAGAGACACCCAGAGAGACACACAGAGACACACACACAGAGACACACAGAGACACACAGAGACACACACAGAGAGAGACACACAGAGACACACAGAGACACAGAGAGACACACAGAGACTCACAGAGAGAGACACACAGAGACACAAACAGAAAGACACACAGAGACACACAGAGAGACACACAGAGAGAGAGAGAGACACACACTAAGACAGACACAGAGACAGACACAGTGAGACACAGACACGGAAAGAGACCCACAGAGACACACAGAGACCCACAAAGACACACAGAGACACACAGACACACACAGAGACACACACAGACAGACAACTGTCTTCGTGTCTCTGTCACGCCGTGTCTCACTCTGGTATCCTTGTACTCTTACCTTCGTGTATCTGTCTCACTCCCTGTGTCTCTGTGTATGTCTCTGTCTCTCTGTGTGTGTCTCACTCCCTGTCTCTGTCTCTGTGTCTCTCTGTCTCTGTGTGTGTCTCTGTGTGTCTCTTTGTCTCTGTGTCTCTGTGTGTGTCTCTGTGTGTCTCTCTGTCTCTGTGTCTGTCTCTGTGTGTCTCTCTGTGTGTCTCTGTGTCTCTCTCTCTGTGTCTCTGTGTGTGTCTCTGTCTCTGTGTGTCTCTCTGTGTGTCTCTGTGTCTCTCTCTGTGTGTCTCTGTGTGTGTCTCTGTCTCTGTGTGTCTCTCTGTGTGTCTCTGTCTCTGTGTGCGTCTCTCTGTCTCCGTGTCTGTCTCTGTGTCTATGTGTGTGTCTCTCTGTCTCTGTGTGTCTCTGTGTGTCTATGTGTGTGTCTCTGTGTGTCTCTGTGTGTGTCTCTGTGCGTGTCTCTGTGTGTGTCTCTGTCTCTGTCTCTGTGTGTGTCTCTCTCTGCGTATCTGTGTGTATCTCTGTCTCTGTGTGTCTCTCTGTGTGTCTCTGTGTGTGTGTCTCTGTCTGTGTCTGTCTCTGTGTGTCTCTCTGTCTCTGTGTGTCTCTGTGTCTCTGTGTGTGTCTCTGTGTGTCTCTCTGTGTGTCTCTGTGTGTGTCTCTCTGTGTGTCTCTCCGTGTGTCTCTCTCCACTTGGACTCGCTTCTCACAAGAGAGCGGCAAGAAGCCCGGCCAAGACGCGAATCGCAATTACCTCGCATCTTGCCCCTCCCCCCCCTCCCCCCCCTCTCACCCCTCCCCCCTCCCCCTCCCCTCCCCCCTCTCACCCCCCCCCCTCTGCCCCTCACCCCTCCCCCTGTCCCTCCTCTCACCCCTCTCCCCCCTCCCCCTCTCACCCCTCCCCCTGTCCCTCCCCCTCCCCCCTCTCCCCCCTCCCCCTCTCCCCCTCCCCCTGTCCCTCCCCCTCCCCCCCCTCCCCTTGTCACCCCTCCCCCCTCCCCCTCTCACCCCACCCCCCTCTCACCCCTCCCCCCTCCCCCTCCCCTCCCCCCTCTCACCCCCCCCCCCTCTGCCCCTCCCCCCTCACCCCTCCCCCTGTCCCTCCTCTCACCCCTCTCCCCCCCTCCCCCTCTCACCCCTCCCCCCTGTCCCTCCCCCTCCCCCCTCTCCCCCTCCCCCTCTCCCCCCTCCCCCTGTCCCTCCCCCTCCCCCCCCTCCTCTCCCCCCTCTCCTCTCCCCCCTCCCCCTGTCCCTCCCCCCCCTCCTCTCCCCCCTCTCCTCTCCCCCCTCCCCCTGTCCCTCCCCCCCCTCCCCTTGTCACCCCTCCCCCCTCCCCCTCTCACCCCACCCCCCTCTCACCCCTCCCCCCCCTCCCCCCTCTCACCCCCCTCACCCCTCTCACCCCTCCCTCTATCTCTGCCCCTCCCCCAGCCCCTCCCCCTGCCCCTCCCCCCGCCCCGCCCCTCCCGTCGCTCAGAACGCGTTTCGCTTTACGCGCCTCGCGCGCCCCGTAGCTCGCGCAGCAGCTGCAGCTGGGCACGGTGAGAGGGGTGGTGATGGTGATGATGGTGTAGTGGTGGTGATGGTGTAGTGGTGTGGTGTGATGTGGTGATGATGGTGTGATGTGGTGGTGTGTGGTGTAGTGTGGTGTGGTGTGATGTGGTGTGGTGGTGTGGTGATGTAGTGTGATGGTGATGATGGTGTGGTGGTGGTGATGGTGTAGTGGTGTGGTGTGATGTGGTGATGATGGTGTGATGTGGTGGTGTGTGGTGTGGTGTAGTGTGGTGTGGTGTGATGTGGTGTGGTGGTGTGGTGATGTAGTGTGATGGTGATGATGGTGTGGTGGTCTAGTGGTGGGGTAGTGTGATGTCGAGATGTGGTGATGGTGTAGTGGTGTGGTAGTGGTGGGGTAGTGTGATGTGGGGTGGTGTGATGTGGTGTAATGTGGTGGTGTGGTGGTGATGGTGTGGTGATGGTGTAGTGGTGATGGTGGTGTAGTGGTGTGGTGGTGGTGATGGTGTGGTGGGGTAGTGTGATGTGGGGTGGTGGTGATGGTGGTGATGATGTAGAGATGTGGTGGTGTAGTGTGATGTGGTGATGATGGTGTAGTGATGTGGTAGTGTGATGGTGTAGTGTGATGTGATGTGGTGGTGATGGTGTAGTGATGATGTAGTGATGTAGTAATGTGGTGGTGTGGTGTGGTCATGATGTGGTGATGTGGTGTGGTGTGGTGATTATGTAGTGTGATGTAGTGATGTAATACTGTGGTGGTGTAGTGATGTATTGATGTGATGTGGTGATGTGGTGATTATGTAGTGTGATGTAGTGATGTAATACTGTGGTGATGTAGTGATGTATTGATGTGATGTAGTGATGTGGTGGTGTGGTGATGATGTAGTGTGATGTAGTGATGTAATAATGTGGTGATGTGGTGATGTAGTGATGTATTGATGTGATGTAGTGATGTGATGTAGTGAAGTGCTGATGTAAAACCTCGGAGATCGAACGCACCACAACTCAGAACAATTCGGTGTTCGAACGATATTTCCGAAAAAAAATTTTGCCCTGGAAACCGAACTAAATTCGGAGGTCGAACGCGAAATTGCAACTTGAAACGACCCGTCCGGCTGAGACGCGCACGTTTCACCAGTCGTGTACGTCGCTTGCCGCCACACAAAAGGTTTTTTAGCGTGAGAGAGGCTCCCTAAACGCGTGGTGTAGTTACCCACAAAGCAACGCTCCTTAACGCTTGGGTTTTTTCGGTAAATGTCGATGTAAAGCTTCTTTCGTGACTGCAGGGATTCATCTTCTTGGTTCTTTCGGTAAAGTCATCACGTAGAAGGGAAGTAACAAAATAATAAAAATAAAACACAATAAAATTTCGATTTAAAGCTTTCGTGACTGCAGGGATTCATCTTCTTGGTTCTTTCGGTAAAGTCGCGTAGAATGGAAATAATAAAATAAGAAAAAATAAAACATAATAAAATTTCGATTTAAAGCTTTCGTGACTGCAGGGATTCATCTTCTTGGTTCTTTCGGTAAAGTCACGTAGAAGGGACATAATAAAATAATACAAATTAAACAATTCTCAAGACGTTTCGGCCAGACATGTTGTTCACCTGAGGACAGCTGCTTGCGTTGTGGCCGAAACGTCGTGAGAATTGTTTTATTATGTTTTAGTTTTATTATTTTATTACTTCCCTTCTACGTGACTTTACCGAAAGAACCAAGAAGTTTTTTCGGTAAAGTCACCATGTAGCAGAGGTCGCAAACGGGTTTTCATTCCTTACCCGTACCCGGCCGCACCAGTGTCGCAAACGGGTAGCCGTACCCGGCCGTACCCGTACCCTACCCTACTTGGCCGGGTACGGGTATCGGGTACCTGATTGCGACCTCTGGGATGAAGCCACGTTGCAGGCGCGGGTGGGTTGATTCTAGGAACTTGAATTGTGAGAAGAGACAAGACATTGGGAAATGAGTGACAAACGGTGACTCACCAGTGACTCACGGCCTACCCGTACCCGGCCGCACTAGGGTCGCAAACGGCTACCCGTACCCGGCCGGGTACGGGTAGCCGGGTATCGGGTAGGGTACGGGTATCGGGTACCCGGTTGCGACCTCTGCCATGTAGGTAAAAAATACAATTAAAATTAATAAAAGTAAAATAAAAATCATGACGTTTCGGAGGCAACACAAGCTTCCGTCTTCAGGTGGAACCGTCACAGCACGCTTGCTGTATCAAGTAAATCATATTTTGCTACTGGCAAATGAGGTTCCAATGGTGTAAATGCTTACCCCGAGCTCTCATACTCTGATGGTGCATTGTCTTTGAGTTGTGCGCCTTTTGGTGTCATCTGGTCCAACACCATGTGAGACTCGGCTCTAAGGAAAGCTGTCTCGGGTGTGGACCAATCAACTTCAAGGACAGTGCACATTATCAGAGTTATGATTTTGTTTGCATTACGACCGCAGGTATTGTGGTCAATGCAAACATGGCTCCTTGTAAAAAAGGTGTCGGTTTTGTTGCCAGATAAAAGGGTAAAAAAATACAATTATCATATTTCGATTTAAAGCTTTCGTGACTGCAGGGATTCATCTTCTTGGTTCTTTCGGTAAAGTCACGTAGAAGGGAAGTAATAAAATAATAAAAATAAAACATTATAAAATAATTCTCACGACGTTTCGGCCACAACGCAACCAGCCGTCCTCAGGTGGAGAACAGGTCTGTCGGGGAGACAGCGTCGTCCTTACCCGACAGACCTGGTCTTCACCTGAGGACGGCTGCTTGCATTGTGGCCCAAACGTTGTGAGAATTATTTTATTATGTTTTATTATTTTATTACTTCCCTTCTACGTGACTTTACCGAAAGAACCAAGAAGAAGAATTATCATATTTTTCTACTTTTCTACTGGCAAATGAGGTGCCAATGAAAAAATAATATTAGGGGCCTAACTTGGCTCCTCCCACCCTCAACCAGTATATATACAAGGACTGTTTTCTTGGAATTTCTCTTAATTGATACAGTTATCGTGCTGTGACGGTTCCACCTGAAGACGGAAGCTTGTGTTGCCTCCGAAACGTCGTGATTTTTATTTTACTTTTATTTTAATTTTATGTTTTACCTACGTGACTTTACCGAAACAACCTAAGAGTATGAATCGTTGCAGTCACGAAAGCTTCAAATCTAGAATCATCGTTCTTTAACTTGTTTGTTAATTTCCTTTACAGGCAGTCCCCTCTGCTTAGGATGGAGATGCGTTACGACTACCCCATCGTAAGTCGAAAAAGATCGTAACTCCAAGATGGCCCAGCCTACCCAGGAGTCTTAAAGAACGGTGATAATTTAGCAAAACAGAGCAATTTACAATACCGTACTGTATAAACGATATAATGTATGTATTTATTAATTACAATACCGTATTGCACCGTAGAATGTCAAGTAAAAAAACAACAAGGTAAATTCTTAGCCTACCTGTATGAACTGCAATTTAATAGAAAGTTTTTTCAGGAAACAATCCCATCTGCTGTAGAAACTTTTAACATGCATTGAACGTATCGTATCGTGGTAACCCTAAAATGAAATCGCTAAAGCTACGTATCGTACATGCATTGAACGTATCGTAGCGTATCATATTGTACTGTAGTCACCAAGATTCTGAAACACAAAAACACAAAAAAATACACGCGCTAACACCGTCCACCGCTGGTGAGAGTGAGGAGGCATCACACAAGGCGGGGGATGCCGTACATCCCGGCAGCAATTTTGTCGCATCGTAAGATCGAAATATCGTAAGTCGGACCATCGTAACTCGGGGACTATCTGTACTTGTGTTTTTAAATCCTTTATATTAAGTTCGCTTGCTTGCTTGCATGCTTGCTTGCTTACGACCGTGCAAACCTTTCGGTCGTTTTTAAACCCACTTCCCGTGATCCAATCGAGCTGACATTTTCCACACAGACTCGTTGTGCGAGATAATTATTGTTCGTGAAAACATTTTTCAAAAATGTTACACTGTTTAGGGAAAACAAATTAAATATTTAATTACCAATTGCTTAATGGTGGCAGACAATCATCTGACCCATAGGTGGCAGCCATCTCAAGGCAGAGGACGAGAGGACTCTAGCCGCCACGCATATAAAGGATTTAGAGTGAAAAACTTTGTTTTTACGGGTTATACTTATTTTGGTGTCTATCCGTACACAATGTCTCCTAAGAAAGTTGGTGGTAGCGAGAAGCCGAAAAGGAAAGTTGTGAGAACCACGATAGAATTAAGAAAAGAGATCATTGCAAAGGCAGAGCGAGGTGTACGTGTGACCCAGATCTCCAAACAGTACGGTATGCCGAAATCGACGATTTGCACGATGCTGAAAAATAAAGAAGCCATCAAAGAGGCTAATGTGGCAAAAGGAGTGTCATCTCTATCCAAGCAAAGAACGAAGGCGATCGAGGAGGTTGAGAAAGTGCTGTTGATGTGGATCAACGAAAAGGAGTTGGCGGGCGATAGCATTTCAGAGGCTGTGATATGTGAGAAGGCCAAACAGTTGCATTCCGACATCCTCCAAAACACCCCAGGAACGAGTGACGATGCGGGTCCTGGTGAAATGTTCAAGGCTAGCCGAGGATGGTTTGATAATTTTAAAAAGAGAAGTGGCATACAGAGCGTCGTTAGGCACGTCGGGGAGGGTGTCTGTGCCCGTAGAGAAGGTGGCAAGAATTTTGTTGGGGAATTTCAAGAGTTTGTCGTGAAGGCCGAGGGCTTTCTTCCTCCTCAACACCTTCCACTCAAGTCATTGGCTCTCCTCACTACAGGTAAAGTGAAGTTTAATGTTCGTTCCGTATATTTATTCATTTATTGTGTCTGGCCGAAACGTCTTGAGAATTGTTGTATTGTTTAATTTGTATTATTTTATTATTTCCCTTCTACGTGACTTTACCGAAAGAACCAAGAAGATGAATCCCTGCAGTCACGAAAGAAGCTTAACATCGAAATTTACCGAAAAAACCCAAGAGTTAAGGAGCGTTGCTTTGTGGGTGCGATTTTATGCATGTGATTACCGCAAACTTCGTGTAAAAACGCTTTGTGACGAGAGATTTCTTGTGTCTGGAACCAATTCATGTCATTTGCATTTATTGTTACGGGGGAAATTAATTCGGCGTTCGAACAAATCGGTGTTCGAATGGCCTTCTGGAACCAATTAAGTTCGATCTCCGGGGTAACACTGTATAGATGGTGATGTAGTGACGTAGTACTGTGGTGATGTAGTGATATGGTGATGTGGTGATGTGTAGTGTGGTGATGTAGTGATGTAGTACTGTGGTGGTGTGGTGATGTAGTGATGTAGTACTGTGGTGATGTGGTGATGTGGTGATGTGTACTGTGGTGATGTAGTGATGTAGTGACGTAGTGGTGTGGTGATGTGGTGATGTGTACTGTAGTACTGTGGTGATGTAGTGATGTAGTACTGTGGTGATGTAGTGATATGGTGGTGTGGTGATGTGGTGATGTAATGGTGAGTTAGTGATGTGGTGATGTGTACGTGGTGGTGTGGTACAACAACGGGCAAACACTTTTGTGCCCTCGCCGCTGTTCCCTCTCGAACGTAGGAACTCGCGCGGTCGAAAAGGGACCGTTTTCCGACGCCGACGCCAACGCGGTGCAAGCGCTGAACCGCCGAAAAATCCCTCCCCCGGCCAGCCACGTGCTCAGCCCCCCCCCTCCCCCACCACCGCACCTGCGTCCTACAAACCCACATCGCCCACGTCCGGGCGATGCGGATCGCCCGCTGCCGCCTCCACCGCCGTCGTTACCTCTCGAAGAAGAACACTACGGAGCGCCGAGAGGATCGTCCGTAACGATGAGCGCCACGCACGCCGCGAACGGCGACGCCGCCGCCGCAGTCGCCGTCGGCAAAAAACGCCAACGGAGGAGCATCAACCTCGGGGTGAAGCTGGAGGTCGTGAAGCGATTCGAGGCGGGGCAGAAGGTGGCCGCCATCGCCCAGGCGCTGGGCCTGCCCGCCAGCTCGGCGCGATCCATCTGCGTGAACGCCGGCAAGATCCTGGAGTCGGCGCAGAACGCGGCGCCGCTGACCGCCACCAAGATCTTCCGGAGCCGCTCGGCCGTCCTGGAGAACATGGAGAGGCTCCTCGGGGTGTGGATCGAGGACCAGAGCCAGCGGGGCGCGGCGCTGAGCGCCCCCGCCGTGCAGGAGAAAGCGAGGAGCCTCTTCGAGGACCTCCGGCAGATGAGCGGCGAGGGCGGCGAGACGTTCGGCGCGAGCCGCGGGTGGTTCGAGCGCTTCAAGAAACGCAGCGGCCTGGGCAGCCTGAACCCGCCGTGCGAGGCCGCGGGCGTCGATGGCGAGGCCGCGTCGGCGTCGGCGTCATCGTCTGCCGGGTCCGCCGCCGGCTACCCCGACGTCCTGAGGGGCGTCATCGAAGAGGGGGGCTACGTGCCGGGCCAGGTGTTCAACGTGGACGAGACGGAGCTCTACTGGAAGCGGATGCCGGCGAGGACGTCCATCGCCGCCGAGGAGAAGACCGCCCCGGGCTTCAAGGCGGCCAAGGACCGCCTCACCCTCCTGCTGGCCGCCAACGCGTCGGGCGACCTCAAGCTCAAGCCCCTCCTCGTCTACCACTCGGAGACGCCGAGGGCCATCAAGGGCTGCCCCAAGGAGCACCTCCCCGTCGTCTGGCGCTCCAACAAGAGGGCCTGGGTGACCGAGACGGTCTTTCGCGAGTGGTTCGCGTCGCACTTCTGCCCGGCCGTCGAGGATTACTGCGGCCGCAGGGGCCTGCCGAACCGGGCCCTGCTCCTGCTGGACAGCGCCCCGGCCCACCCGGTCAACCTGGAGGAGCTGTCGGAGAACGTGCGCGTCGCCTTCCTGCCGCCCAGCACCACGGCGCTGCTGCAGCCCATGGACCAGGGCGTCGTCGCCGCCTTCAAGGCCTACTACCTGCGGCGAACCTTCGCCCGCCTCGCGGGGGACACGGCCGGCGGGCGGCGGTCGGCCAGGGACTTCTGGCGCGGCTACAACATCAGGGCGGCCGTCGACAACATCGCCGACGCGTGGCGGGAGGTGCGGCCGTCGGACGTGAACGCCGCGTGGCGCAAGATCTGGCCCCGGTGCGTCGTCGCACGCCCGGCGGGCTCGGGCCTTGCGGAGGAGGCGACGGAGGAGGTCCTGCGGGACATCGTGGGCCTGGCGAGGTCGGCCGGCCTGGACAACGTCGAGGAGTCGGACGTGGCCGAGCTGCTGGATTCGCACGGCGGCGAGCTGTCCAACGACGACCTGGTGGAGCTGCTGCAGCAACGTTCGGGCGAGGGGGGCGACGAGGGGGGGGGCGGGAGGCGCGGAGGGGCAGCCCAGGCGGACGCTGAGCACGGCGCGTCTGTCGGAGGCGTTCGTTCACCTGGAGGCGGCGATGGACATCTTCAGGGAGGACGACCCCAACAGGGAGCGCAGCTTCAAGGTGAACCGGACGCTCGCCGGCGCCGTTCACTGCTACAAGGAGCTGTACAAGCAGAAGAAGAAATACGCGGCGAGACGGGCGTTGGCCAGGCTCGTTAAAAGCCCTCCAGGCAGTAACGCGGGAGGCGAGGAGAGCCAGCTACCTCCGCTTGCTACTCCTCCGCTTGCTCCTCCGCCTGTCATCAAACAAGAGCGGAGTCCAGGCCCTGGGGCAAGTCCTCAGCTGGCGGTGAAATGCGAAGACGTCTCGGTCGCCGAAGCAACCGGTGAGGCCTCTCAACTCGTTCCCTACCGCTGTCGGCGTCGGCTGATTTGGGTCGGTCGGGGCGGGTGGTGGTGGTGGTGTCATGGGCCTATACTTAATTTGGAGCTTTCGTGACTGCAGGAATGACTCTTTGGTTCTTTCGGTAAAGTGACGTATAAAGAGAAAATAATAACATAATACAAATAAAACATAAGAAGGTAATATATTATTATATATTATTTTATTATGTTTTATTTTAATTATTTTATTACTTCCCTTCTACGTGACTTTACCGAAAGAACCAAGAAGATGAATCCCTGCAGTCACGAAAGCTTTAAATCGAAAATAAAATAATTAATTAAATACTAGCATACGACGTTTCGACTGCAACACAAGCAATCGTCATCAGGTGTGAAATCCACAGCAAGAATAATTCTATATTTATTTATATTTCGATTTAAAGCTTTCGTGACTGCAGGGATTCATATTCTTGGTTCTTTCTGTAAAGTCATCACGTAGAAGGGAAATAATAAAATAATAATAAAACATAATAAAATGCAATTCTCACGACGTTTCGGCTACAACGCAAGCAGCCGTCCTCAGGTGAAGAACAGGTCTGTCGGAAAGACAGCGTCATTCACATCATCAACATCATCATCATCATTAACATCATCATCATCCTCATCATCATCATCAACAACATCATCAACATCATCTACATCATCAACATAATCATCTTTTTTTTTCGATTTAAAGCTTTCGTGACTGCAGGGATTCATATTCTGATGCCTTTTGGTGTCATCTGGTCGAACACCATATGAGACAAGGCTCCAAAGAAAGCTGTCTCTTGTGTGGACCAATCAGTTTCAAAGACAATGCATCAATTATCAGAGTATTGTTTTTTGTTTGCATTTGACTGTAAGTATTGTGGTTAATGTAAACATGATTCCTTGCAAAAGGTGTCAGTTTTGTTGCCAGAAAAAAGGGGAAAACCCCTATTAGTATCAATCTTAATTTTGGAGTTTTCGTGACTGCAGGAATTATTCTTTGGTTCTTTCGGTAAAGTCACGTACATAAAGATAAAATAATAAATTAAATAATCGCATACGACGTTTCGATTGCAACACGAGCAATCGTCATCAGGTATAATGAAATGGCGACATAAAATCTAACCAGAAAACTACAGACACACATTCTAGATTTGAAGCTTTCGTGACTGCAATGATTCATATTCTTAGGTTTTTTTTTCGGTAAAGTCACGTAGGTAAAAACATTAAAAAGTAAAATAAAATAAAAATAAAAATCAAATAAAAATAAAAAAAAGGCTCAGCCTTTGTTATGCAGTCTATTCTTAGTCTCAAGCCTCACCTTACCATATTAATAAAAAGTATGCGGCCCTTGCCTCACCACCTTCTCCAGCCATTATATAAACGCAGTGGTAGCTCCTGCAATTTCTCATTCACTTGATGCAGCTGTCGTGGCTGTGACGGTTCCACCTGAAGACGGAAGCTTGTGTTGCCTCCGAAACGTCGTGATTTTTATTTTTATTTTATTTTACTTTTTAATGTTTTTACCTACGTGACTTTACCGAAAAAAAACCTAAGAATACAGACAGACATATAAGCAGACAGATATCACCAAGATATATAGAGAGAGCAACACAGGCACAGAGACGATCACCCCTCTCTCTACCTGTGTTGCTCTCTCTGTGTGTATCTTGGTGATATCTGTCTGCTTATATGTCTGTCTATAGTTCCCTATTAGTATGTTTCGGGCGTCGTTTCGGGCGTCGAAACCTCGTGATTTTACCCTTTCTGACTCTCGCCCCTTGACCCACACCCCCCGAGCGTCGATCGACCCGCCGGGTCCTTCTCGAAGCCGCGCGCGGCCTCGTCTTTCCCCGTCGCGTCGACCCGCTCCTCACGGCGGCGAGACGCGCCGTCTGTGTCGATCGCAGCTCCGGATCTGAGGATCGTGAAGGTGGAAAGAGCCAGCAGCGAGGGCGCAGAGGAGACGGGGGAAGAATCTCACCGCGGCTGCCTGGCCACCGCAGACCAGAACTTCATCGAGGTGGAGTTGTCATTCAGTGACGGTGAGACTCCACCGCTCGTCTGATGGTCAGTGGTGATGGTGGTGGCAGTGGTGGTGGTGCGGACGGTGGTGACGGTGGTGACGGTGGTGGTGGTGGTGGTGGCGGTGGCGGTGGTGGTGGCGACGGTGGTGGTGGTGGCGGTGGTGGTGGCGACGGTGGCGGTGGTGGTGGAGGTGGTGGTGGTGGTGGAGGCGGTGGTGGGTGGTGGTGGTGGTGGCGGTGGTGGAGGTGGCGGTGGTGGTGGTGGCGACGGTGGTGGTGGTGGTGGTGGCGGCGGTGGTGGTGGTGGTGGAGGTGGCGGTGGCGGTGGCGGTGGTGGAGGTGGTGGTGGTGGTGGTGGAGGTGGCGGTGGTGGTGGTGGTGGAGGTGGCGGTGGTGGTGGCGACGGCGGCGGTGGCGGTGGCGGTGGAGGTGGTGGTGGTGGTGGTGGTGGTGGCGGTGGTGGTGGCGACGGTGGCGGTGGTGGTGGAGGTGGTGGTGGTGGTGGAGGTGGCGACGGTGGTGGTGGTGGCGAAGGTGGTGGTGGTGGCGGTGGCGACGGTGGTGGTGGTGGCGAAGGTGGTGGTGGTGGCGACGGTGGTGGTGGCGGTGGCGACGGTGGTGGTGGCGGTGGCGACGGTAGTGGGGACGGTGGTGAAGGTGGTGGTGGAGGTGGAGACGGTGGTGGTGGTGGCGAAGGTGGTGGTGGTGGCGGTGGTGGTGGCGACGGTGGTGGCAGTGGTGGTGGTGGCAGTGGTGGCGGCGGTGGTGGTGGCGGCGGTGGTGGTGGCGACGGTGGCGGTGGTGACGGTGGTGGTGGCAGTGGTGGTGGTAGTGGTGATGGCGACGGTGGTGGTGGTGACGGTGGTGGTGGTGGTGGTGATGGCGGTGGTAGCAGTGGTGGTGGCAACGGTGGTGGCAGTGGTGGCGACGGTGGTGGCGGTGAGTGAGTGAGTGTGTGCGAGTGAGTGAGTGTGAAAGTGTGAGAGTGTGAGTGAGAGTGTGAGTGGAGTTTGTGTGATCTCTCTCCTGCCCTGCATTGCATTCTCATTGTATTGTCTTTATTGTATTGTCTTAGTGTATTGTCTTTATTGTATTGTCTTGGTGTATTGTCTTTAGTGTATTGTCTTAGTGTATTGTCTTCGTGTATTGTCTTTATTGTATTGTCTTTATTGTATTGTCTTTATTGTATTGTCTTAGTGTATTGTATTATTGTATTGTTTTAGTGCATTGTCTTTATTGTATTGTCTCATTGTATTGTCTTCGTGTATTGTCTTTATTGTATTGTCTTAGTGTATTGTCTTAGTGTATTGTCTTTAGTGTATTGTCTTAGTGTATTGTCTTAGTGTATTGTCTTTGTTGTATTGTCTTTATTGTATTGTCTTAGTGAATTGTCTTAGTGTATTGTCTTAGTATATTGTCTTCGTGTATTGTCTTAATGTATTGTCTTTATTGTATTTTCTTTATTGTATTGTCTTCATTCTATTGTCTTAGTGTATTGTCTTTATTGTATTGTCTTCATTGTATTGTCTTCATTGTATTGTCTTAATTGTATTGTCTTAGTGTATTGTCTCATTGTATTGTCTTTATTGTATTGTCTTCATTGTATTGTCTTTATTGTATTGTCTTCATTTTATTGTCTTTATTGTATTGTCTTCATTGTATTGTCTTCATTGTATTGTCTTAGTATATTGTCTTCAGTATATTGTCTCATCGTATTGTCTCATCGTATTATCATCTTCCCGACCGTTCTATTCACCTCCCGTGCGCCAGACGAAGTGACGGAGCGGCCCACGGGATCCGCGGGCGGCGACGCCGTCACCGGGACGAGGCCCGGCAAGGCGAGGCCAGGCCGGGGGCGCCGTGCCAGGCCCACGCGGCGAGGATGCAGCCAGTGCCGGAAGACGCCGCTGGCAATAGCGGGCGACACCGGCGATGATCACGCCGGCGAAGACGATGATGACGACGATGACGATGAGGACAGCGATGACGGGCTACGTCGGAAGAAGAGGAGGAGGAGGAGTAGGAGGAGGAAGAAGACGCAAGCCGGAGAGAAGGGAGAGTCGCCGTCGAAGGGATCGGCGCGGGACGATTGCTCGGGAGTTTGAGAGTGGAGCGGAGTTTGTGTGATCTCCCCCTGTTGTACAGAGTGAGTGAGTGGAGTTTGTGTGATCTCTCCCTGTTGTATTGAATGAGTGGAGTTTGTGTGATCTCCCCCTGTTCTACAGAGTGAGTGAGTGGAGTTTGTATGATCTCTCCCTGTTGTATTGAATGAGTGGAGTTTGTGTGATCTCCCCCTGTTCTACAGAGTGAGTGAGTGGAGTTTGTATGATCTACAGAGTGAGTGGAGTTTGTATGATCTACAGAGTGAGTGGAGTTTGTATGATCTCCCCCTGTTGTACAGAGTGAGTGAGTGGAGTTTGTGTGATCTCTCCCTGTTGTATTGAATGAGTGGAGTTTGTGTGATCTCCCCCTGTTCTACAGAGTGAGTGAGTGGAGTTTGTATGATCTACAGAGTGAGTGGAGTTTGTATGATCTACAGAGTGAGTGGAGTTTGTATGATCTCCCCCTGTTCTACAGAGTGAGTGAGTGGAGTTTGTGTGATCTCCGCTTGTTCTACAGAGTGTGAGTGAGTGGAGTTTGTATGATCTCCCCTTGTTCTACAGAGTGAGTGAGTGGAGTTTGTGTGATCTCCCCCTGTTCTACAGAGTGAGTGTAGTTTGTGTGATCTCCCCCTGTCCTACAGAGTGAGTGAGTGGAGTTTGTGTGATCTCCCCCTGTTCTACAGAGTGAGTGAGTGGAGTTTGTGTGATCTCCCCCTGTTCTACAGGGTGAGTGAGTGGAGTTTGTGTGATCTCCCCCTGTTCTACAGAGTGAGTGAGTGGAGTTTGTGTGATCTCCCCCTGTTCTACAGGGTGAGTGAGTGTAGTTTGTGTGATCTCCCCCTGTTCTACAGAGTGAGTGAGTGGAGTTTGTATGATCTCCTCCTGTTGTACAGAGTGAGAGTGAGTGGAGTTTGTGTGATCTCCCCCTGTTCTACAAAGTGAGTGAGTGGAGTTTGTGTTATCTACCCCTGTTCTACAGAGTGAGTGAGTGGAGTTTGTATGATCTACAGAGTGAGTGAGTGGAGTTTTGTATGATCTCTCCCTGTTCTACAGAGTGAGTGGAGTTTGTGTGATCTCCCCTGTTATACAGAGTGAGTGAGTGGAGTTTGTGTGATCTACCCCTGTTGTACAGAGTGAGTGGAGTTTGTGTGATCTCCCCCTGTTATACAGAGTGAGTGAGTGGAGTTTGTGTGATCTACCCCTGTTGTACAGAGTGAGTGGAGTTTGTGTGATCTCCCCCTGTTCTACAGAGTGAGTGAGTGGAGTTTGTGTGATCTCCCTCTGTTCTACAGAGTGAGTGTAGTTTGTGTGATCTCCCCCTGTCCTACAGAGTGAGTGAGTGGAGTTTGTGTGATCTCCCCCTGTTCTACAGAGTGAGTGGAGTTTGTGTGATCTCCCCCTGTTCTACAGAGTGAGTGGAGTTTGTGTGATCTCCCCCTGTTCTACAGAGTGAGTGAGTGGAGTTTGTATGATCTCTCCCTGTTCTAGAGTGAGTGGAGTTTCTAATAATGACTTTTTTAATAGAGCGTCAATCATGCAAATCTCCCAACGCTGCACAAGACAGAAATAAAAATAAACGAGAGAAAACTTGTCCCTCGCAATCAATCGCTTAGTGCACGCGTAATAAAGCTCGTTGAGGCGGCTTCTAGAATCCGTCTTTTGTTCAACTTGTATACAGCTATTCTTTGGTTCTTTCGGTTAAGTCACGTCTAAAGATAAAATAATAAATTAAAATCATAGCATATTACGACGTTTCGATTGCAACACAAGCAATCATCATCAGGCATAAAAGAAATAGCAACAAAAATCTAACTAGAAAACTACAGACAGACATACAAGCAGACAGACATCACAAGGACACACAGAGAGAGGACACATATCGGCACAAAGAGAGGGGGTCGTTTCTGTGACGGTCCCTTAAATATAGAGAGAGGGGGGCGGGGACGGAGAGAGGGAGGGGGCAGAGAAAATTACCATGTCAATGAGTGGATGGCAACGTGATGCTGCTACAGCTTTTCCTTTACGCTGCTAACAGGCAGCATGAGAGGAACAGATAGAAAGAGACACACCACCACGTGGCAACCCGGAGCCCCGCTCCCGCTTGGCCCCCTTCCTCTGTTCGTTCCCGTTCTGACCCACGTGTCGTTCGTCTCCACCCCTATTTAATACCCGGGTCACGTGGTACGTTTCCACCAATCCTGGTTAGCCTCCATGGAATATTCCAGGCTCCCTCGTAGGCTCCCGGGACCACGCCCCTGACTCGTCTCCCCATTGGCTGTGGCCAAAGCCAGCAGAACCAATCATCTACTTGCAGCTGTCACCTTCCCGTGACGTCAGAGCCACGCCCCTGACTCGTCTCCCCATTGGCTGTGGCCAAAGCCAGCAGAACCAATCATCTACTTGCAGCTGTCACCTTCCCGTGACGTCAGGACCACGCCCCTGACTCGTCTCCCCATTGGCTGTGGCCAAAGCCAGCAGAACCAATCATCTACTTGCAGCTGTCACCTTTCCATGACGTCAGGACCACGCCCCTGACTCGTCTCCCCATTGGCTGTGGCCAAAGCCAGCAGAACCAATCATCTACTTGCAGCTGTCACCTTCCTGTGACGTCAGGACCACGCCCCTGACTCATCTCCCCATTGGCTGTGGCCAAAGCCAGCAGAACCAATCATCTACTTACAGCTGTCACCTTTCCATGACGTCAGGACCACGCCCCTGACTCGTCTCCCCATTGGCTGTAGACCAGGACCGGCAGAGCCAATCATCATGACTAGTTGTGATACGTCATTGAGCCGGATATAACCTGACATTACACACGCATACCAAGGTCGAGTGGATTATGGGCTTTAGTAACCAAAACGGGGGTTGTTTCTCTTTTTAAATCCTTTATATTAAGTTCACTTGCTTGCTTGCTTGCGCGCTTACGACCGGTCGTTTTTAACCCACTTCCCGTGATCCAATCGAGCTGACATTTTGCACACAGACTCGTTGTGTGTGACAATTTATTTTCGTGAAAATGTTACACTTTTTAGGTAAACATTTTTTATATTTAATTACCAATTGCTTAATGGTGGCAGGCAATCATCTGACCCATAGGTGGCAGCCATCTCAAGCCAGAGGACGAGAGGACTCTAGCCGCCCGTTTCAAAGACCAATGTGGGCTGGTGTTGCGGCCCATTGAACACGCATATAAAGGATTTATAGTGAAAAACTTTGTTTTTACGGGTTAATTTTTTTAACCGAACTTAAATATTGGGAGGGTTTGGCTGCTGCAGCTCCTTACTATTAAAATTCCTTCCCTTTATTACTGCTAACCCTACTCCCTGCCTTTGATGCTGCTAATCCTACATAATGCACGGGCATAATATGACTTTGAGACCCCCCCCACCTCCTATGCATTCCACAAGTAGTGACTAATCCCATATCTGCATTTTCTATAAATATGCTAAATTCCTCTTGATATGCAAACTCCTTTGTCAAGGCGCTCTTCCCCCTCTAACCCAGCTTAAATATACGCTGCCAAGCTTGGTGGTGCTCATTCAGACGCTGTCTTTCAGACAGACCTGTTCTTCACCTGAGGACGGCTGCTTGCGTTGTGACCGAAACGTCGTGAGAATTGTATTTTATTATGTTTTATTTTTATTATTTTATTATTTCCCTTCTACGTGACTTTACCGAAAGAACCAAGAAGACATAACCACAATCAAAGAAACAGAAATCTATGTTATAGCAAAAAATTGGGGGGGGGGGCATTTTTGAGCTTATTTGAATATTGGGCAGGGGGGGGGGGGGTGATATGTCTCCAATATTTAACACGTACCTTCGGAGTGGGCAGGTAGGAACTTGGTTGGACAGCGCATTCGTGCACGACAGACAGACAAATAATCCCTGGTGGGCAGTGTGGAACCTGTTGTTCCTACCTGTATGTATACAAGATAACTTGACTTTAGGTAGCCAGGCAGACAGCCCCCTGAACTATCGCCCCCTTAGGCCCCTCCCCTGACCCCCCTTCCCTTAGGCCCCTCCCCTGACCCCCCCTTCCCTTAGGCCCTTCCCCTGACCCCCCTTCTGTTAGGCCCCTCCCCTGACCCCGCTTCCCTTAGGCCCCTCCCCTGACCCCCCTTCCCTTAGGCCCTTCCCCTGACCCCCCTTCTGTTAGGCCCTTCCCCTGAGCACCCCCCCCCATATCCTTAGGCCCCTCCCCTGACCCCCCCTCCCTCAGGCCCCTCCGCTGACCCCCCCCACCCCCTCAGGCCCCTCTCCTGACTCCCCCATTCCCTAGGACCCTCCCCTGACCCTCCTCCCTTAGGCACCTCCCCTCTCCGTACCCGGCAGTAGGTCTCCACCAATCAAAGAGCTGTTTGTAAGGTCTCCACCAATCTGTGTGTATTATATATTTATTTATGCACGACAGACAGACAGTCAGATAGACAGCTGGTGGGCAGTGTGGAACATTGTTCCTCCCTGTATTATAATTCCGGCCTTGTCGTGTGCGGCACTGGGGGTGGATCGAGCCGTACCTCCACGGTCGATCGCGGTTCGTCAAGCTCGGTGACGAACGGTCATCGCCATCGCCGCGTACATCACACAGGGGTCCGTCCGGGGGCCTCTTCCTATTTGTTGAACGTGCCCGACTTCGTCATCCCGTGGCGTAGCATCGAGTTCCAGCTGTCCGCCGCAGCGAAAGTCCGAGTTGGGTACGGAGGGCCTCGGTAAACCTCGGAAGACCGCACGAAAGCATCCGTGTGTAATGCGAGCGTAATCGGGGTGGAGACAGGATCACGTGGTGAGAGGGTGGAGACAGGATCACGTGGTGGGAGGGAGGAGACAGGGTCACGTGGTGAGAGGGTGGAGACAGGGTCACGTGGTGAGAGGGTGGAGACAGGGTCACGTGGTGAGAGGGTGGAGACAGGATCACGTGGTGAGAGGGTGGAGACAGGGTCACGTGGTGAGAGGGTGGAGACAGGGTCACGTGGTGGGAGGGAGGAGACAGGGTCACGTGGTGAGAGGGTGGAGACAGGGTCACGTGGTGAGAGGGTGGAGACAGGGTCACGTGGTGAGAGGGTGGAGACAGGGTCACGTGGTGAGAGGGTGGAGACAGGATCACGTGGTGGGAGGGAGGAGACAGGGTCACGTGGTGAGAGGGTGGAGACAGGATCACGTGGTGAGAGGGTGGAGACAGGGTCACGTGGTGAGAGGGTGGAGACAGGGTCACGTGGTGAGAGGGTGGAGACAGGGTCACGTGGTGAGAGGGTGGAGACAGGATCACGTGGTGAGAGGGTGGAGACAGGGTCACGTGGTGAGAGGGTGGAGACAGGGTCACGTGGTGAGAGGGTGGAGACAGGATCACGTGGTGAGAGGGTGGAGACAGGGTCACGTGGTGAGAGGGTGGAGACAGGATCACGTGGTGAGAGGGTGGCGACAGGGTCACGTGGTGGGAGGGTGGAGACAGGGTCACGTGGTGAGAGGGTGGAGACAGGGTCACGTGGTGAGAGGGTGGAGACAGGGTCACGTGGTGGGAGGGTGGAGACAGGGTCACGTGGTGGGAGGGTGGAGACAGGGTCACGTGGTGGGAGGGTGGAGACAGGGTCACGTGGTGAGAGGGTGGAGACAGGGTCACGTGGTGGGCGGGTGGAGACAGGGTCACGTGGTGAGAGGGTGGAGACAGGGTCACGTGGTGAGGGGGTGGAGACAGGGTCACGTGGTGAGAGGGTGGAGACAGGGTCACGTGGTGAGAGGGTGGAGACAGGGTCACGTGGTGGGAGGGTGGAGACAGGGTCACGTGGTGAGAGGGTGGAGACAGGGTCACGTGGTGAGAGGGTGGAGACAGGGTCACGTGGTGAGAGGGAGGAGACAGGGTCACGTGGTGAGAGGGTGGAGACAGGGTCACGTGGTGAGAGGGTGGAGACAGGGTCACGTGGTGAGAGGGTGGAGACAGGGTCACGTGGTGGGAGGGTGAGAGACAGGGTCACGTGGTGGAGGGGTGGAGACAGGGTCACGTGGTGAGGAGGGTGAGACAG